ATGCCATCGGAAAGTGGCGTCCATACAATGCAAAGAGATCAAGAGGCAGACCACAGATGAGGTGGAAAGATGACATTAGGAAACAAGGAGGTCCCACATAGCAGAGAACAGCTCAATATAGGGAAAGATGGAGAGAACTAGGGGAAACCTATATCCAACAATGGAAGGATAGAGAATAGGTTAAAAAATACCTCGTTTTAACATGTCGTCGACTACTTCGTTTCTCCAGGATAGTGTACATCTCTTCTTTCGGCTTGTGGAGAAAACTTATGCTATATGCTTATGAACTTTTCTTACATATATTCCTGCTACTTCAGCCTGTTCCCTACTAGATCGATCAATATTCCTCTTTCTATACACGTACAGTCTTATTTCCTCATTTTTTTATTCTACTATTTACTTGTAGTCTTGTTATTCAACAGCAGCTTGTTATTCTTGTTACAGCTTATATCTTACTGCTTGTTTAATTTTCTAGCTCGTACCTAATAAAAATTCTCAGTAAGGTTTTTCCTAGCCTTTTTTCATAACATAGTCATAGTACCCCGAGTTCTGGAATCGAACATGATAAAATAATTTTAACAGCGCAGCCGGTGACAATAAGAAGATGGGGAAACACAGAATTCTGCAAAGATTAGTGTTGCTAACTGGAAAATCCAAGCAAGAGAGAGAGAGAGAGAGAGAGTAGAATCACACAGAAAGCCCTTTGAGAGTTGTAGCACCGTGATAATGATGACTCTTAGTTATAGTTTTCTTCTCTTAGTCGCCAATAAAGTCTTATTTAGTTTATTAATTATTCCCATTATACATCTCTGTAGGCAATGTATTTGTTAAAATATATTCATTTGGATTTGATTATATTTTGTGCTAGTCTACTCTATACTATATTACACACAGGTCTTACCCTTACATTTCAGTTACTTGTTTCTTTCGTTTACTTCAAACTGGTATATTTTCTATCCATTGAAAGGCAAATGCTACTATGAAACTAAAGGAAAAGAAAAATAAGTGGATTATAGTGAGAGGTTTCAGAAGAGAACTGACAAAACTAAAACGATATTTTGCAAGACAGTACATCAGATATGAAGATGAAAACTGGAACAATATATTCGCACAGTGATAGTTTGATAGGAAGAGCAGCCCCAACATGAATGAAGATAGCAAACAATAGAGAAGAAATTTGGGGAGTCTTATGACCAATATTGAAGGAATTAAGCTGATATAGATAGATAAGTAAATGTCTCAAACAATTTTGTACTACATATCACCACCAAATTATCTCGTTATACATAATACTTTTATTATTTAGCTATTTGCATCTCCCTATCTTTCACTCCTTCCTAATATTTTAGTTTTCATAGAATTGTTTGTTGATTTTGTTATTTTTGTAAATATTCTTATCTTGCTACTTTGTACTGTCGCGTCATTCGTGACAGCTTTCCATTTTGTACTATCTCATCGTATGGATGTTTTCATGCATAATTTTTGCCACCGAAAAAAAAAACAGGTAGTAGGTTCAGGTTTTCGGCAATTCACTTAGTCTTCTATTACAATTATAGATTGTATTCTGTCGTACAATAAGGCCAAAAATTCTTAAAACATACTGTCTAACAGAAAGACCTAAGTACTTACACCTTGTTTCTCGTAGTATTTGAAGAATGAGCTGATATTTCAACATTTTCGAAACAAGGACACTTTCTGTATTTTTTTCTAGATCTAATTTCTTTTGTCTGATTACTACCTTATGTTAGTTATCTTTATAAATTATTTACATTATTTGGTTGGTAAGAGAATATTATCATTTTTGTTTGTTTCAAGCTCATTTCTAGTCCATAATGATCACTATTGTTGTATATACTGTAGTATGTATTCTAACTATTCCATGCCATTTGCAAAAATATCCGTACCATCAAGATATCTAACGTTATTGATGGTACTTTCGTTCTGCAATCTCGATAGAACTTCTTGAAAGATGACATACTGTGGACGATGAATATCCTTGTCGAAACACACTGATTCATATTCAAGAATCTATCGCTCTCAACAGAACATTTACACCAAATAGTGTTTCCATGATTTCACTTATTTTCATTTGTCTTTGCTGTTTTTATTATTATTAATCTTCACTATTTTTGCCAGACTTTCATCAATTATAATTTTCTTTTAGAAGCGCCATGTTGTTTATGTTAGTAATATTTTCTAAACAATGGTTCAATAAAATAGTGATAGCATTCATTCACAAAGCTTCTCACGAGCAAAGACTGCCTTTGTTGGTTGTTTATTGCTTCCAAAGAGTACAATAGATATTCGATTCGATATCTCTCCTAAAATCCTAATTACTGCAACATTCTACGCAAAAAATAGTATCAAATTATCTTGAAAATATAAACGAACAGACAGTTTGGAAGAAAAGGATATGTTCCCTATTCAAACATATCCAAAATTATAGAATGAGTGATACTTTCGAATTTTTCGTGCGTTGAATACGAATTTGACCTCCAAATTGTCTATGGTTTATGAGATATTCTAACCTAAAAATGCAAAAATAGCGGTCTTTGGTCATTTTTGAGGTTATGTAAACCCGTTAATGTTTTTTATCTTAAAATAAACGTATATTTTGATATGATACAACAAGCAATTCATCTTGGGGATTTCAGGGTTAGGTAGGTTTGCTCGCTTGTGAACTGAAGAGATAGTTTCTATGAGTAGGTTGAGTTTGGGACGTGAAAATTTGAGATTGTTGGATTTAGGGTTATTTGATTTGGATTGTCAAGTTTGAGGTTATTGTAATGTAGGTTTGTAGATTTTTTGCGACTAACTAAGAATTTTTAAAATGCGATATCTCAGTACAAAAAGAAGATATCTGAGCAAACTCAACGATATTTAAGATATTTAGACATATACATTAAGGTGGTTATAACAATTTCGCCAAGAAAAATGCTACAATGCTTACGATGCAACATAATCTCAAAAACGGCCAAGAATTTTTCTTGAACTTTTAGGTTAGGATATCTCACAAACTGGACCCAATTTAGCGCACAAAAAACATATATGCTGATCTCTGAGTTCGAACATTGTTCAAAATTACTAGAAAATAAAAAAATTATAAATCTATTATTTATATCGCACCTGGATCATTATATGGAATGGAGGCGTGGACAAAGACCGCAACATTGATGAAAAAAGTAGAGGCCTTCGAAATGTGGGCTTACCGACGTATATTACGTATATCCTGGACTGAGCACGTGACCAACGAAGAGGTACTACGCCGGATAGGTAAAGAGAGAGAGGTAGGAATAAGTATAAAGAAAAGAAAGTTGAAATATTTGGTCACGTTATGAGACATAATAAATATAGAGTACTACAGCTGATCGTTCACCGGGAAAATAGACAGCAGAAGGGGTCTAGGGAGGAGAAGACACTCGTGCTGCAAAACTTGCGGCAATGGTTCGAATTGTCATCTACTGAACTATTCAGATCTGGCGTAAACAAAGTCAGAATAGCCATGTTGATTGCGAACGTTCGGAACGGACAAGGCACATGAAGGAGAAGGGATCATTAAATACATAATAACTAGTTCTCCAAACTCATAAAAAATATCTACTACTTTTATAGGGAATTAACTGTAATTTTAATTGGAAAAACGTTTATTTTATTATTTAATCATATAAAATTTTGAGTAACTCATATCGATTCCTTAACACGATTCTGAAACTATTTTATTGTGACATTTTTATGTTATCTACAATATTGAATGGGAATTAAATACATTTTTAATTAAAAATACGTTTATTTTCGTGTTTATATTTCCATACAATGATTTTGAAGTGTAAAATGTCAAATAACATTTTTAATTAAAACTGTTGTTAATTCCCATCAAATACCATAACTAAGATAAAAATGCTAAAAGAAAATAGCTTCAAAATCATACCATAATAGAAATAAAGAAAATATTTATTTGAATAAATATTGTCATGGAACAATTGGTTCTTATTTGTATGGAGAAAAATTAGCAACCAGCACTTGAGAGGGCTACAGGAAGAAATAAAAAATATTGTGGTCGAATTACCGGAAATATTGCTGTGCTAAAAATGTTTTTGAAGCAAATCTTTTAACTGGCTTTGAATTACTTTTTCTCTATAGTAAAATACTGAGGCGCGCGTCATAAAAGTAGTGCCACGACACGGTGTCACGAAAGTAGCGCCACGAAACAAGCTTCATAGGAAAGATGCATTGCAAACAGTTGGAAGAGTCCATTTACGTAACCAGTGGAGTCTGTTATACAACATGTAAACTTTTAAAAAAATTACTTTATTTATCGGCGTCATTTACAGCTATACTCAAATTTTTTACCTTTTTATTTTAATTGTGAGATGATCTTGCACAAATGATCAATATTGATAAGTTTTTCTCGACGTTATTATGAAAGATTTAATAATTTACGAAACCTATGGATATGTTTACCAAAAATTATTTTTATCTGCCCATATAGTTTGGGTCACTTGAAACTCAGTTGTTTTTTAACAATAGCCTTTTATTAAATAAATTATGCATTTATACAGATTTTTTAACATAAATTTATAACTAAGCCAGCATTTAGCGTATTAGAGCCAAAGCTGTATTCATTCCAAAACATATTATCACGTGGAACTTGAACAAAATTTTGGTCACCATCACTAACCTAACTATGCGTATAGAACTTTTCTTGAATGGATTCGATCCAGTGATTCATTGTTAACAAAACAAGTAATAGGGTCACAGTATAATAAATACCAGTGCTCTAACTGCTTTCTGTTCTGAAACCACCACCAATAAAGAACCGGATGATAAGCTTAAACAATCAATTTAATAATATTGACTATCTTCAAGAGTTCTGCTAACTGATCACTTATTATACTGTGTTAAATAACCAGCTTAAAGCTGTCATAACTAACAATAACTACATGGATGGACATTAACAAATCAGAATTAGAAAAATTATTTTTATATCAATCATTTCTTACTTTTAACGATAAGTTTCGCAGATTGTTCAACTTGACCGGCTGATGAAGTTGCTCTGCAGGTAAATACACCAGTATCTTCTTCGTAGGTTGAGGAAATCAATAGAATAGCATTCTTTCCTTCTTGGATCATCTGTAACAAAGAAGAGAGTATTTAGTTTGTTTCTCCAATACAAATTGGATATATGTGTCAAATGAAGACTCAATTACAGGATCAATTACAGAACTATCCGAAAATTTTTCCAGTGAGCGCTTCCCAAGATAACCGAAAGAGTGTTAAGATCAATAAGAGAATTTTTTCTCTATGTACGTTATGTTATAATATGATACAAATTCATAATAATTTACGTTTTGCCTTCACTGCAAAGATAACCAATCAACCATATACTTTTCTATCAAAAAACGAGACAGGGTTGGAACATTGACTGGTTGAGGAAAAATTATATATATAGTACAGGTTGTTTACAACTGTCGTTGTTTTCCTGTCCCTAGTTTCCATCGTTTCCTATCTCGGGTGTCGGCTTCATTTAGCTGTCTTCCTTCCATGGCTTCATTCACGTCATCTCGCCAGCTTCTTCTTGGACGCCCTCTTTTCCTTCTTTCGGTTGGGATCCATTTTAATATTTTCTTTGGCCACCTCTCGTCTGCCATTCTGTTTACATGACCGAACCAAGTTAGTTGTTTTTTCTGGACTTCATCTATAATGTCTTTTTCTTGCTCCATTCTACGTTTTATTTCTTCATTGCGGATTCTGTCCATCCTTGTCAATCTACAGCTTCTTCTCATAAAATCCATCTCGGTAGCTTGTAATTTTTTCCTGTTTCTTTTACTAGTGTCCCATATCTCTGCTCCGTATGTTACCACCGGCTCAACCATCGTCTTATATATTCGTTTTTTTCGTCGTTCTTGTGATTTTTTATCCCAGAGAATGGAGTTTAGGCATTTGGTAATGTTTCTGCCTTTGTTTATTCTTGTATTTATTTCTTCATGGCTATTTCCGTCTTTTGTAAACACTACTCCTAGGTATTTTACTCTATTTGTTCCTTTGATTTTGTCACTCTCCAATGTCAGGTCTCCGACTGTATTTTTCCCCACTGAGACATATTCGCATTTTTGTAAGTTCATTGTCAGTCCACATTCTTCGTACGCTGTTTGTAGTTTCCTAACCATATAGCTGAGATAGTCTATATCTTCTGCTACCACCAGTTGGTCATCAGCGAAGAATAGTGTATAGAGAATATCCTCGTCTATTTGTATTCCCATATTTCTGCATTGTCTTTGCCACTTTTGTAGAGATCGATCCAGATATATTTTAAACAGCGTAGGTGATAAACAACATCCCTGTCGTAGCCCTTTCGTAGTGTTGAATTTCTCACTATTTTGCCACCTATTTTAATTGATGCGGTGTTGTTTACATACCACTTTAGAGTTGCTATTATTAACCAAGGTTTTATTTCCATGTTTTGCATTTCACTCCATAAATTATTTATCGGCACGTTATCATATGCCTTTTCAAGATCTATCAGGGCTATATGTGTTTCTTTCTTTCTTTGTTGTGGCTTTTCGATTAATATTTTAAGTGTAAATAGATTATCTATAGTCGATCTTCCAGCTCTGAATCCGCATTGTTCTTCTGGTTGTTTCATACGAATGTCTTCATCTATGAGGTTTCTAAGTATTCGGGAGTACAGTCGTCCTATAGTGGGGATGACAACAATTCCTCTATAGTTTCTGACATTGTTTCGTGCTCCTTTTTTGTATATTGGGGTTATATAGGCCTCACGCCATTCTAACGGGGTATCTTCTCCATTCAGGCATCGTTGGAACAGATCTTTGACCATTTCCCACAGTTTTGCTGAGCCGTATTTAATAAATTCTGGTGAGATGTTTCCTGGGCCTGGCGCTTTTTTAAGTTTAAAAGATCTTATCGCTTCTACGATATTTGTCATGTTCAATTCATTGAATTCTGATCGTATGTCTCTGTTTGCATTTTCGTATTGAAAATTGTGTCGTCCTTCTTGTAGTAACTGTTTAAAGTAGTCTACCCAGTCTGTTTCTGTTATGATACTTAAATCTAATTTATTGTTGGTTGACGTTTTCATAGATTTTAGCGTTCTAGCGTGAGGAAAAATTGATTTAATTAATTAAGACATAAAAGAGTTCTGTCCTGATTATATTTAAAACATTGACAGAGAAGAAAATACTTTGGGTGTATGGTGGTATATTTTATTAAAAATATTTAAAATTATCCAAAAGAATTACAAATCTTCAAAATGTTTTCAGTCCAATCATCAGTGAAACATTTTAAAACTAGTTGAAGCTAGCTACAAAAATAGGTGTGAAAACCTTTGTATTACATGATAATCATAGTTAATTGTAATAATTTAATGACACAAGATCGATGTTTTCGATTTCACATAAGCCGAACATACATCTTCTCTTCTCAAAAGGAACGACTATGTCCAACGATTAGAACCAGCCAACTGAAACATTTCAAATATTAAATTGATGACTTTAATGCCAAAGTGAGAAAAAGAAACGATAATGAACAAGGCAAGGGAAAGTATGGAGTCGAAATGAAAGGAGAGAAAGCTTGGTTCAGTTTGCATACTACCAAAACATGCATACTGCAAATACATTCTTTAAGAAAAAATTGAACAGAAAATGGAATGAAATGAAAATCGATAGATGATAGAGTAGCTTATCAGAATCTCATAACTTCAGAACTGAAGAAGTGAACATCTAAATGAAATGCATTAGATAGAAGTGACAACATGCTAAAAAATGCGATCGAATGCTCATAGAAATATAATGAAAAAGGAAAAAACAAGATGAATAAACTCACTCAAGCTACTAAAGAGCTTATAAACAAAAGAAGAGAATTGAAAGACAAATACACAGATAATTTTGTTACAACACTTAGACAGTTAAACAAAGATATCACAAAATCCATTCGAAAAGATGTCAGAAATTACAATACTGAATACATAACTCAACCCATTGATAAAAATAAAAGTTTAAAGGTTATGCGCTGACAAATGACTGAAGGATCAAAAATATTTGTAAACTTGTAAATAAAAAAGAAGAAACTGCAGCAAATAAGGAAGAGCTTTTAAAAATTGCTTAAGATTTTTACTCAAAATTGTATAAGCGGGAAGAACTTCCAGATCTTGATCAAAATCAAATAACAAAAGTTCAAAATGTAGGATCAGAAGACATCCCAGATATCACAAAAGAGGAAATAAAATCAGTTTTCTCGGAGATGAAACAGAATAAATAACTTGGAGAAGATGGGATAGTCATTGAACAAATCAAAGAAGGAGGAGGAACTTTAGTAAATGTGTTGAAAAAGATGTTCAATGCTTGTTTGACAAGAGGCGTAACCTCCTCCCAGTGGCATAATGCAATAATAACCATAAGATAATAACAAAACAGCTTTTAAACAAACTAGATAGTTACCAATCTTGTGAATAGGCTGGGTTCTGCAGATACGGAACAAATGATCATCTAAAAGTTATAAAAACGCTAATGCGCTAGAAAAGTGTAAAAAGTATAACAATCCTATCTTTATTATATTCGTAGATTATGAAAAGGCGTTCGATACTATACATCATCATAAAATGCTTCGAGCATTGGCTGACTGCCGCATTGACTACCGATATATCGCCTTGATTAAAAGTATTTAAGAAACTGGTACAGCTTGTGTCAAATAGAACGTGGAATGAGACAGGGTGATACTATCTCCCTTAAATTGTTTGGAGCTATTCTTGAATATATGTATAAGCAAATGGAACGAGAGGATAATATGAGAATTAATATAAATGGGGAAGATCTGAATCACCTAAGATTTGCCGATGACATTATTTTAATATCTGATAGAATTGATAAAGCTTGTAACGATGAGTCCAAGCATTCACCGTTAAACCAGCGTGCGCGCGAACCAACCCATGAAGTAGGAGTGTATCGACAGTAGAAAGGGCAAAACTAATTACCAAGCTCCGCTATATAAACCGCAACATTTCCTCATAGAGGCAGAATCGACAGGTGTTGACTGAAGGTTCTCTTCTTCCCTACCCCGGCTTGTAAACGTGTTGAGTTCACAAGTTGTTCCGTCTCATACCGTCTTTACCCGGAGAGCGTGTTGAGCTCTTCATTACCCGTGCTCTGAAGCAGTCGTGTTGAGACTGTCGAGGAGTGTCCTGTTAACCCGAATCACTTAAGGGACGTGTTGAGTTCCTTTCCTTTCTTTGTAACTATCGTCCGCTGTTATTAAGTCGATACAGCGTTCACGTAAAATTTCAAAAACACACTCGCTTGCTGATAACACTAATTTCATACGACAAGGTCAAACTTAATTTGAATAAATAGGCCAGGTACTGAGAAGACTAAACCAAATTGTAAATATGTACATAAGATTTTTGTCAATTTAATTTAAGGAAGACAATAAAGTTTTATTTTTATTTTGAACTCTGTCTCTGACTGTCCAAAAGCTACCCGGATAGTGACTCCTACGAGAGGACGTCACAAGCTACAAAAATGCTGCACATGCTCTATAAAGTGTCAAAAACAATTGTCTTAAAATTAATACCTCAAAGACAAAATTTATGACTAACCTTGTAGTCAGCGGTAAAATTCTGATTGAGAGCCATAGCATCGACCAAGTAATAGCTTACAAATATCTAGGGCATGAGATTCGCTTAGGCCGAGATAATCAAACAACTGAAATACAAAGAAGGATAGGTCTCACATGGGCTGCCTTTGGTAAATTGAATAACATTTTCGAGTCTATTATCCCAGTTTGTTAAAAAAGAAAGATTTTTAACCAGTGCGTTTTATCGATTCTTACATATGGTGCAGAAACACTGACTCTGACAAAAAGATCAATAGATAAAATAAGAGTTATACAACGCGTTATGGAAAGAAGATCATGCAAAATTTAAGAAAAAAACTAGTTTGATTCGTACACCCAGTATACAATGAAAATTTACCTGTTGAGCAACAATAATATTATAAAGATATTGTCAAGGAATAAGGCTATAACATATTAAAAAGATCACTTAAATCGGATAACAGATATAGGAGATAAAAGAAATCAAAATTTACCCATTTTTAAGGTGGCCGGTTAATTTTGGCCCAGAGTGTATATCCACTACCTATCAAAATGGAGTATCGACATCTTAGAGAATGTTTTAATTAATTGCTATCAGAATAATAGCTAATGCTCCCATCTTAAAAGATAATGAAAGATTATGAATTCGATATATTTTTTTTGCAAATTTGCCAGTTGACTTATGCCCATCCCTGCCCTGTCGACTTGATCAGCTACTCGGTGTTTATGATATGTTCTGAATATATTTTCAACAGGATTAGCAAAACATGCAACCCTGATAGATTCTTTAACTTATCTAGGTCTATGATCTATTTATTTCTTCTTTTCTTCTTCATGTGCCTTGTCCGTTCCGAACGTTGGCAATCAACATGGCTATTCTGACTTTGTTTACGGCAGATCTGAATAGTTCAGCAGATGACAATCCGAACCATTGCCGCACGTTTTGGAGCCACGAGTGTCTTCTCCTACCTGAGCCCCTTCTGCTGTCTATTTTCCCTTGACGTCAGCTGTGTACTCATTTTATATGTCTCTATGACCAGTATCCACTCTTTTCTTTAACTTACCTACTCTCTCTCTTTACCTATCCGGCGTAGTACCTCTTCGTTGGTCACGTGCTCAGTCCAGGATATACGTAATATACGTCGGTAAGCCCACATTTCGAAGGCCTCTACTTTTTTCATCAATGTTGCGGTCATTGTCCACGCCTCCATTCCATATAACAAAACCGGGAATACATAACATTTCAGAAGTCGAATTTTGAGAGGTAGGGTGAGGCTTTTAGAGGTGAAAATTTGCTTCATGCTAGTGAACGATGCTCTTGCCTTTTCTACTCTTATACGTATTTCCTTCGCTTGATCCCAATTTGAGTTAACTGTTGTTCCCAAGTAGATGTACGAATCCACGTGTTCAATTCTTTCATTGTCTGATATCAGTTGCTGTGGTGGTTGTTGGGTTTTGCTTACTAACATCCATTTGGTTTTTGTGATATTTAGTCTGAGTCCGTATTGTGCACTTGTTTTTTGTATCTTACTCATTAGGCAACTCAGTTCCTCCATGCTACTTGCTAGAATCACAGTGTCATCAGCATACCTTATGTTATTAATTATTTTCTCCATTTCTCTTTATGCCTTCTGTGCGTTCCTCCAGCGCTGTCTTAAATACTTCTTCTGAGTATATATTAAAGAGTATAGGAGACAAGATACAGCCCTGTCGTACCCCTTTCTTGATCTCAATTTTATTGGTCAATGTAGATCCTACTTTCACTTTAGCTGTTTGACGCCCAATAGAGACTCGCTATTGTTCGAATGTCTCTGTAGTCGACTCCGATCTTATGGAGAACTTCAATTATCTTTTCGTGCTTTACGTTATCGAATGCTTTTGCGTAGTCTATAAAGCATATGTACACGTCTTTGTTCATATCTCTGCAGCGCTGAATGAGTACCTGTAGACTAAAAAGTGCTTCTCTTGTCCCAAGAGAATTCCGAAACCCAAACTGCGAATCTCCAATGTTATCCTCGCATTTTTTGCTTATTCTGTTGTAAATAACCTTGGTAGCCTTCGAAATGTGGTTAATTAGACTTATCATCCGATGTTGACACAGCTTTGCTTTTGGTTTTTTCGGTATGGCAACAAAAGTTGACTCTAGCCAGTCTTCAGGAAACTCCCCGCTGTTATAAATATTGTTAAAGAGTCTGACGAGTGAGTCTAGAAATTGACTGTTTGTTTCGCACAGCATTTTCAATACTTCCCCGTATACGTTATCGTTGCCTGGTCTTTTGTTATTTTTAAGACCCTTTATAGCATTCTCCACTTCTGATTTTAGAATAGAAGGGCCAGTATCATCATTGCTCAGTGTATACCCACTAGGACGGTCATTATTAAACAGTTGTTCCACATCATTATCTATTTATCTATTTATACAATGTTTTATTCCTAATATAGACTAGAATCTCTTGCACCTAGCTTTATTGCTTTATACCTAGTTTGATGGGACAGATTTACCGTTTATATTTAAATTTGCCTAATTAGCTTGTTAAGTTAATAGTTTTCAGATTCGTTGAAAACACATGATTATAGAAACTGAAGCTTTAAGTTTGTTTTCTTTGAAAGCTAAACTCGAGCCAAGATCTATATAATTATAAACGATTTATTTTTAGACGAACCTCCCAAGAAATTGTGAAATAGTATTTCGACTGTAACGAATATAATTAAAGCTTTAACGTATTGTATATAGAACGTCCCGTTTCCTTATATCATTTAGCTTAGTTAATGGTAAACGTCTATTATTCTTACGGAGAATTTGTATAAGAATAAATACCATGTTATTGATCTGTTAGAATTAATCTGACTTTCACTTGTTGCCCAACTTCCTTTAATGTTTATATTCTTCCTTTTTATCTGAAAAATCTTTCTATGAGAAAGCGAAGATTACACTTTTTACTGCCTATATCTGATTTCAATGACTATTTTTGTATGTCCGCATCACTTTAATATTTTCTATATGTATTATAACTAGTTTTTTGTTTAATATTATGTTTATAAGTGATTAAACCATAACTAATTGTAATGAAAATTACATAAACTCCATCTGTAAACACTTTCTGTGTGGGAGAAACCGCAAGACCAGTAAGTGTTGGGATAAACGAGCATGAAATCTACATCAAAAGCATAGACTTCGTCAAATCACAGATATGCAAAACATACTGAGACAAGGAACACAGAGTACAGTGGAAAGGTGCATCAATCATCATATAGGAAATACATGAAAAAGAGAAAAATCAAAGAAGCAGCTCTCATTCTAGTTAATGAAGAAAAATGTATAGTACACCCAATAGCAGAATGTAGCCGGCTGTGGTTGGCAATACTAAAAGAATTCCGTAACGATAATAAACCAAGAGTAGTGGATTAATAAAAACCCAGACACGCATCATCATATATACAAATATATTAATACATAATATATATATAATTCTATATATATATATACAACACAAATACATAGGTAAACATATGCATAAACACATTAACATTTACTGAAGGTAAAACAATCAATCCCAGAATCTTTTAACTAAAAGCATAGCTAGTTGCCTACAAGATTAAGTCTAAAATGTCACCTGTCAGTTTAAAAAAATATAACCGCTCAACAACTTTTTAGGTTATAAAAAAACCTCCATATTTTTAAAAATAATCTTTTTTGAAAACGATTTCCGGAATGGAAATCGAAACGAAACGAAAAGATAATTGATCAAATGTCAAGTAGCAGTTAAAAATGTAATTTCCATTACAATCAATTATGACTTAATAAATAAAATATTCAACTTCCCTTTGTTATTATCCTTTCTTTGACAATTACATTGTCCTTTATAGGTCGATTTTGTATTCCTTCTCCATTATTGCTACGTTTTGGCATAGTTATTTTCTAGACTTACTCAATGTATTCTTATTTTAGCTTCTCGTTGGTTTTCCCATTAATTTAAATTTTTTTCGTCCATATCTAGTAATAATAATAATAATAATTCAGCATCTTACCGGGGCTGTCAGGCATTTGCTGCAACTGAATATAAGGAACGGCACGACTCAGTAGGTAAGATCCTTCATCAAGAGATAGCTATCAAACTGGTACTTCTTCAAACAAACCATCTTCCATCTTATCAATACGTTCCTAAAAGTATACTTGAGAATGACAACTACAAGCTATACTGAGACCGCACGGTGCTCACAGACCAAACAGTAGCACATAATAGACCAGATCTCATACTAGTTAATAAACTAAAGAGACAAACAACATTAATTGATGTGGCGATACCCAACAACAATAATCTTCGTGTTAAACAGAACAAAAAAATCGCCAAGTACAGGGTTCTGAAAATTCAAATACGCTCTACTACTGGAGTCATTCCAAAGAACCTCCTAGAAAACATAAAAAAGCTAGGTCTGAATGAACATCTTTACAAGATCATGCAGAAAGCTGTACTACTCAAGCTACTACTCTCAGCTGTACGAAAATTTTTGGGAGATACTCAAGCATATCAAGTCACCTAGGGCTCGATAACATGGAAAGAGTCCCACCAGAGCTCAATCCTTTTGATGCCATCCTGTCGTATTTGGGATGAGTGAATTTTCACCTTAGAGGGAGTGTGAGCCGTATGGCTAACTCTGGATAATAAATGAATGGCTTATATTGGCTTATAATGGTCAACATTACAGAAATATTTCTTATGAACCTTTCACCACTAAAGAATTGTCGAACATTATCAAAGAGCTTCATAACTGAACATCTCCTGTACCAAACGGAGTTCAACACTTCTTGCTTAAGATGTTTTGGAGTGTTTGCGAGCTTTTTACAGCATTAATTAATCATATTATTTCTAATTCACAGGAAATACCGTCATTTCTTACTCAGGGAACCACTTATTTAATACCGAAGGATCAAAATAACTCCCAAGATTCAAGCAAGTACCGCCCAATTCCTTGTCTTTCAACTTTGTACAATTTGATCACATCCTGTGTAACCCGGCGTATCTACCAACACTGTTCTCTGAACAATATCAAAGAGCTTCAACAGAAAGGATGCGCTAAGGGCTTCATTTTGTTCATATATAATAAAATTCAATATAAAACATAAAAAACTTAAAAATGTTTAAATATAACCTAACTTTTGTTCATAAACTGAGTATCTAATTTTTCTATAATATTTACATTGAAATTTAAATCTTACCTGGAAATCTGGTGATTCTGGAATAAGGAATCCCTCCCTCAACCATTGGATGGTGGGCTTAGGTTTTCCAGAGATAGTAGTCTTGAATTGAGCAGGGCTACCTTCAGGTACAGTAACGTCTTTCATTGGGGTTAGTGACGGTGCAACTTCTTGCGTTTCTGGTGCAAAAACCTTCAACTTAGCTTGAGTACTAACAGCGCCTGCAGGATTTTCAGCAACGCATTTGTAGACTCCTTCATCTTCGGGAAAGCCTCTGAGATCTTTAATGTGCAGAAGTCCCCTTCTTTGGTCATTTGGAAGTATTTAGATGGCTTGATGACCTTATCAGCCTTTTGCCACTTAATAACTGGGGTTGGTTTAGCTGAAATCTTACATCTGAACACGACAGCCTGTCCTTCTTTAATAGTTTGATCTTTGAGAGGTTCTACAATGACAGGTGCCTTTTCCGCACCGGGAGTTGTGGGTTTCGCGGGTTTCTGGGCAGCAGATGGTGCAGTTACTACACATTCAGCTTCACATCTAGCTTCTCCGGAATTATTGATAGCGACACATTCATATTTACCAGTATCTTCGGGAACAACTTCAATAATGAGAAGAGTATAGATTTCGTCTTCTTCCAAAGTTTTGTATCTTATATCAGACACAATTTTCTTTCCGTTTTTCAACCAGTACACATCAATAGGTTTGGTACCGTCTATTTTAGCATCGAATCTTACTAGTTGTCCCACGTTGCTTTGGTGCTTTGAATTGTGGCAGTGAAGCTAGGTGGAACAGCACCACGTGTACCATGTCTTCGTCTTTCTTGTACTACCAAGTTGGCACTGCATTTAGCGGTACCTCCTCTATTTTCAGCAACAACACTGAACACACCAGAGTCTTCCATAAATACTTGTCTCAGTTGAAGGATAGATTTAGTACTGAAGGTATAAACTTTAAGATCTGGTGAACTGGTAATGGGGAAATCTTCCCTGAACCATGTAATTTTGGGTAATGGATCACCATCAAATTCAACCTCAAATTTGGCAGAATCATTTTCGAACGCCCTTACCGGCTTAATCTTTTTGGTAAAGACTGGAGGATTAGATGGTAGTACTTGGCCTTGGACTACTCTTTCTGTGGTCTTTGCTTTGTGTTCAACGTCAGTCGTTTCAGTCGCTGTGATATTTCTTGTAATTTCCAGATCGCCCTTTTGTTCTTTTTGAACCTGTTTCTGTTTAGTGACGTGGATTTCTCTACCGTGTACCCCAGTTTCAGTTGGATCTGGTGGATAAGCTCCTTGTTTAGAGTCGATATCTACTTCGTGCTGTATGAACTCCTGACCTTTGTCGGTCTTTCTCAACCGTACTTGGTCTTTGTGTGGCACAGGCTTGGCTTGTTCCGCTTTTGGTAGGCGGGGAACTGGTGCTAAGTTGATGTCATAGTTTGGTTTTTCGTCACTGGAATAAAAAAAATTAGATAAGTAGATCAATATTATTTTGTCCAATATGGCAAATTAAAATTAGGCTAGTTATAATGATACATAGATTTACGGGCTTAAAGAATATAGTCTATATTTCTTCCTGGCGAGTATTCCTAACATAGCAAATTATTAGATTTTATTTGGAGAATCACAAGTGATGTAGAGCATCGATCTACCATATACGGATGTTAGGAGACGCCAATGAAAGCCAAAAACCTACATATAACATTTACATAACAGCCAGAAAGCTAATTGTATAAAAACGCTTTTCCTTGACAACATACACAGTCAACGACTACCCGTTTCCCTGAAGAATATTTTAACCCACAATTCTGTGGTTAAATACATAAAAATAATAAAGATATAATTGATACAAAAGTTTAAAAAAGTTCATGAATCATTTGTGGTATCTGCCTAAAAGTTTAGACATAGGTCAAACAGGAAGACATTTCAAAAAACGGATAACTGAACATACAGCTAATTTTATAGACGAAAAAAGTTTTATAAGGGATTTGCTTTAAAAATACTGAGTTGATTCTTAACGAACAAATATCTATCGGAAGGTCACCATTCGAATTTTTTACTATAGAATAAAATATTTAAATAAATTAACTGCGCTGAACTCTTTTATTATCATAAGACGGGAATAAATTCTAACAAAAGGTAAGGCACAAATAACTAAATCCAGTTACAAAAAATTATGAAAAACATGGCAAGAGATGAAAAAGCCAAAAAAGTAAAAATGATAATAAGGATGGTTGTGAGTTCTTACTATTACTATGATTTTTTACTAGATAGTAAAGACAAGTTTATATAAAAGAATGTATGCATATACTTACAGATTTTCTTCATATTGCTGAGCCATTCCTCTGGCGAGAGAGTTGCTAACAATTTTCTCTCCGGGTATAGCGTACTGATGAGATTGTTCACGAAGTCTGATCTCTTTGGAGACCTGTTGGTTTTCAAGTTCCTGTATTTTGTCATAATATTCTTGTCCTTTCTTATCTTTCACGTTCCGCTGCCATTCCGTCTCGGTACCTTTGAATTCTTTGGGTTGGACGTGTTCGCCAGTGACGTTCACGCCACCTTCTCTGAGAGCAGTGTTTCGCTCGTCGAATACTCGTTCGAGTTCGGTTTCAGCGCGTTCTTTTTGGTATTCAGTTAGTTCTAGATCGTACCAAGCTAAAGAAATAAATTTGTACGTGAGATTTTGTGGTATGTATCAAAGACTTCTCCTGTAGCAATTCACAATAATACATATTAGAATGGGAAGATAAGTATCGTTCAGACTTTAATAAAAAAGCAAAATGCAAATAAAATTCTTTATGTAATAGATAACTGCTTCAGATTTCGTTCGTAGAATAAATTATACATGACTGGTCTTTTGGCTTTGCCATTGTCATTAGTATTGGTCATCATAGTGACATATACTGAATTCAATACTCCTATTCTTATGTGCTTTGAGGATTACACAAAGGTCTTTGATAAAGTCAAATGGCAGCAGCTATAGTCCATACTAGCGGAAATGGGAACACCCAACCACTTATTTCAACTAATTAGAAGTCTATATGAAAATAATAAGTGCACAGTAAAAAAACAACACTCATTCCGATCATTTCAGAACAGAGGCAGGTGTCAGGCAGGGATGCATAATCTCGCCAACTCTGTTTAATATCTACAGCGAACACATTATGCGAAAGGTACTAGACGAATGGAAGGGTGGAATATCAGTAGAGAGGTCAAAAAATCAGTAACTTGAGATATGCTGATGACACTTTAATAATCGCGGCAAATCAAGACGAAATGGAAGACATAATGAGATGTCTGGAGAAGAAAAGCAAAACATATGGACTAAAGCTAAATAGGAGTAACACCAAGATCATGTTAGTAGACAGAGCTTGGAATAATGTTCAACACATTAAAGAAATTGGGGGCTTTGAAGTAGTAAATAGTTTCATATACCCTAATAACAAATGAAGGTGGGTGTGACAGAGAGATACGTAGAATGTTGACTATTGCTAGAACAACTATGATGAAACTGGTAACAATTTGTAAAACTTCTAGCACAAAAAACTAAGGCTGGTGAGGTCACGAAAATAAACTAGACGCTTTTGAAATGTGGGTATACCCCTGCATGTTAAGAATATCCTGGATTGATCATTGTACTAACGTATCGATATTAGAACAACTAAAAGTAAAGGATAGATTGCTTAAGCAAATACAATAGAGATATTTGCAGTATTTTGGACACATTGCTACAAGAACAGGTACGATGGAAAAACTGACAGTCGAGGGTAGAGTTGAAGGAAAGAGACCTAGAGGAAGATCTCCAAGAAGTTGGGTAGATCAAACAAAAATATTGATTAACCAAAAATCGTGAAGAAAATGAGATGAGGATGAGGAGTGTCATTAACTTAAGAAGAAAAAAATAGAATCCATTATGACAGAAAAATAACAGGGAACTAACGGCAAAGTAGCAAGTGAAAAATAAAGTTCTGTATTGAAAAATAAAGTTACTGTTGCAAGGGTGATAAACGCATAAAAACGCGGCGGGGGAACATATAGTTTTAAACTCTAACGTGATACAGCTTTAAAATTGACTACGAATTACTCTTTCTTCGATACACTTTTTACATATTCTTGTTTTTAAAGGAAAACACATATTAAAATCGTCAGTAAAATGGTGCTATGCCGTTACGGCGTATTTTCCCATGTAAAATCCCATAAGAAAACGCTAAGGTCCATTCTACCTATTTTCGACGCTTTTTTCAATGGGGTAGAACGGCTCGTCAGATCGAGTCATATCAAAATGTCACGTTTTTACGTCAAAATGTCACGTTTTTACGTCAAAACGTCATAAAGTGTTTACGTCAAAACACAAAATGCAAAAACATCACGTTTTCACGTCAAAATGTCATAAATTCTCACGACACAATATTAAGGTTATGTTTTTACAATAAAACCTGATATTTGACTTGAAAACGTGACGTTTTGATATAAAAGTGTGATGTTTTGACATGAAAACGTTACATTTTGACGTAAATACGTGACGAAAGGTCAAGAGGTCGACCGCAAATGAGATGGAAGATGACATTGAGCAAAGCGCAGGTCCAATGTGGAAAAGACAAACAGAAGACAGGGACAAATGGAGACAAATGGGAGAGGCCTATATTCAACACATGAATAGATTTTGGCCTATAGATAGACAGATAGATAGACGTGACGTATTTTACGTGACACTTGACATTTTACGAGACGCTTGACGTTTTGACGTAAAACCCTTATGATGTTATGAAGTTATGACATTTGGTATGACATGATCTGATGATCCGTTCTGCCCCCACTGGAAAAAGCGTCAAAATGAGCAAAATTGTCCTTAGCATTTTCCTATGGGATATTACATGGAAAAATAGCAATAAAATAGCGTAATGGCATAGCCCTTTTACTATCGTCACTATCGTGATACTAATTTGTGCAAATTGAGGAAAAAAAGAAGATATATTGCGTTGGAGATGAAGCTAGAGCGTTAGGGTCTTGATTTTCCGTTGTATATCATATTGTATTACAAATATATAAAAATGAGAAAGTGGGAAGGAGTATGGGATAATTGATATAAATTAATATCACTATTTTATCAGTGGTGAAGAAATTTTATGTTATTGTGAATGCTAAAGGAGAGTCTATATTTAACGTGACATTTAAACAAATACATACAATAAACATTTGGCAAATATCGTTATTTTGGAACAAGACTATCGTATTTCCATATCAGTTTCTCAATTTTTAATATTTTTTAGATAACTGACAGTCTTGTTTCAAAGTAGCGGTATCGAGTAACAATGAAATATTATATTTTGAATCAATTAATTGGTTTTCTAAATCGTTTAATTATTTAATATATTTTATTGGCAACGATTCTTTACCATCTTGTTCAATGGTATTAAAATTACATTTTCAAGAACAGAAAAGTATTTCATTTAATCAAGAGAAGCAAACATTTTCCACCAATACTTGTCATAGTTATTTACACTAATCATTACTATATTTCTTATTGTGGTAATTTTTACTCTTTTCTTCTTCGTCATTCTTGATGTTAGGCAAATTGCACTTTCATACATTTAGGTCAGTATAGAAGAAAAAAACAATGAAACAATTATTTTTGCCTATAAAACGTTTCTTATCCATTTTAGAGAAAAAAGATTTAAATAAAATTTGTAGATCGTAAAAAAAAAACTAATTTTTCGAGTTTCTAAATTAAAATATATAAATAATTGACTGACATTAATAAAAAACCCTTATTATTGCAGTAATTTATAATTGTTAACTTTGCTTTTTGCATAACGACACGCAATTCTGAAAAAGGGGTTACTTTTTAGCTTATAAACAATTATAATAACTTCAATGGCTTTCGATCGGATAGCCAAGCTGGCTGGGCGACTGGCTGCTCCTTCGCTTCAATGCGAAAGATGTCAGTTCAATTCCCAGCTCGGTGTACAGAAAACAAAAAAGCCAAAGGAACAGTTAAAAGTTAAACTGCTTGTTAAAATGAATTGAAATGAATCTGCGGCTTAGTCTAGAATATGCTGGTATCTGATCGGCCTATGGTGGAGCAGTACGGCAATACTGCTCCAGGTTGAATATCTCCAGGCAATACTGCTCAATCTTCTCAGGTTGAAGATTGTTTCGGAGACAGAACTGTCATCAAATTCTATCTAATTAGCCTCTTCGGTCCATCTTTGGACATAGGCCTCCCCAATCCTTTTCCATTCTTCTCTGTCTTCGCTACAGTCATCCATCTAGAGCCCACGTGCTTCTTGATATCATCTGCCCATCTCATTTGGGCCTTCCTCTGCTTCGTTTATATTCCCAAACTTATAAGAATTTTGTTCCATCGGTCTTCTTTTTGTCTTATATTGTGTCCGGCAAATCTCCATTTCAATTTTGCAACTTCTCGTCTAACATCCCTCACTTTTGTTTTCTCTCTTATCCACTCGTTTCTCTTCTTATCCATTAGTCTTATGTGCAACATTTGTTTTTCCATTGCTCTTTGGGTTTTTATGATTTTGTCCATGTTTGCTTTTGTAGATGTCCACGTTTGGGAACCATAAGTAAGAACTGGGAGTACGCATTGATTATATACTTTGGTCTTAAGATGCTGTGGATATCTTTTGTTTTTAAGAATGTAGCTTAGTTTGCCAAATGCCGCCCATGCCAGTCTAACTCGTCTCTTGATCTCTGCTGTTTGGTTCTCTTTGTTAAGTTTTATAGTTTGCCCAAGATATATATAATCCTTAACTTGTTCTATTTCATCTTGTCCGATTCTCATTGTGATGTCTTCATCTGTATTTGTTATAGTTTTGGTCTTGCTGTAATTCATATTAAGGCCTATCTTTCCAGCTTCTACGTCCAGTTCTTTCATCATTTCAAATAATTCTTCTTTTTTATCGGTTATCAATACGATGTCATCAGCGTACCTTAGATGGTTCAAGCGTTGTCCACAAATTTTTATACCTTTTTTTCCCATTCTAATCTTTTAAAAGTATCTTCAAGAGCCTGATTGAAAAGTTTCGGTGATATTGTATCACCCTGTCTCACGCCTCTAATCCCTGTCATCAAATTAGCTCCAACATATTAATACATCTAACGATAAAGAAAATGTCAATGCAAAGAATATAACTGATATGCATAATCGCCGTTATAATGGTACAATTTGCGTTTGCACAGAACCCCGATCCACCAAATCCAGACCTAGCACCAGATGCGCCCACAACAAAAAAATCTGCAGCTGGAATTGTGAGACCTGTTTGTCTATTTAATTTTCCTCTTTCGTTACTAATTGCTGGTATCGTCAGACGCTAGAATCATTTTGGTTATTAAATAATGAAATTGTTATTATTCTTGTGATTCAATAATAGAATTGTTGTGTATAAAAACTATTTCCTTTATTCAGATTATATCAATCGATTGGTCAATTGTTATTATAATATTTAATTGTTACATCTATATTGAACTTCGGACAATAAACACAATGCTTATATGGCAGGAGTCATGCAAAAATTACAAAAGCTCACATATATTATTGCATACCTGTTCAGAACTTCTTCAGCACAAAGCTTTATCCGGTTGATAAATGCTCTAAAGCGATAGGTGCTTTAAAGCAGTAATATTCTTGGCTGTTCGAGAAGAATAGGAATTACGGGAAAAGGATAATTGAGGATGGTATCGGGAAATGGATCAAGATGTTGAAGTTAGTGTAATGTGCGATTATGCGATCTATGCTTGTAGTTAATCGTGGTGGGTGCATTGTGTAAAGTTCAGAGTAGTTCAGTTAAAAAAGAACACGATTGGACAAAGAGCGTACACGAAATTAAGTTTCACATAATTTTTGTAAGAAATGTTAAAGCTTAAGTGAAGAAAAAACGAAAGAAAAGAAGAAATAAACCAAACACATAGTTAAAATGTAGGTAAAGACCAAGAATTTGACGCAGTTGTATTAAGAATGTATTTTCTTTCATGTTAGCTCTTTGACAAACCGTGCGTTTGTTAACTTGTGTACCCTCTATATTTGTAAGTATACTGCGTTGATATATTTGTGTGTTTAACTTACGTCTTGGCGAATTCTTAAGAACTCCTCTGTAGTCATCGTGTCTTGGAATAATTGTCAGCTCAGTTTCGGCGATAGCCTCTCCCACTGAGCTGCGAGCAATCACTTCCACTTTACCAGTATCGTACTGGCGAGTTTTTGGTATATCCATATGATACATTCCATCGTAGGTGAGTTTATAGCGGGAGCCACTGACAACAGTGTGGCCGTTGATAAGCCACATGACACGTGGACGTGGGTGGCCTGTAACTCTGCAGCAGAATCTCGCCCATTCTCCTTCTTCGACTGAAACTGGTTCAGGTTTACTGACAAACACTGGTGCTTGTCGTGGTTTAGATTCTTCGGCGGCTTCTTCAGGTACCCTGTAATGAACGAAATAAACAGTTTAATTAAAATACCACAATTATCCCAAACCTAAACTTACACTTGCCAAGCAGCTTCAAGTTCTCTAATCTTTTCGATACTCTTCATTCCTTTGGGTAATTGAGAGTCATAGATAATGCCTGGTTTGCCAGTTGTTTTAATAACAGCTCTAGTTTCATCCATGCCGTACAAATTAGTAGCTCTACACAAGTATTCGCCGCTGTCTTCTGGGTATACCCATCCAAAGTTCATAGCCACGTAACCAAAGTCATAAATTGGTGTAAATCTATTTTCTGTAAAATAAAATATATCATTAGTTACTGTTTCTATCTTGGATGTTTAGCGGAATATTTTTGTGAAGCCATACTTATACTACATAACCAAAAAAATAAGTATCAGAGTTTTTCATGTATTTTCTAAAAGACTTTAAAAATATTACAGCATGAGAAATGACATGCTGTATATGCTGTACAAATACAGCTATATAACTCGTAATGACAGAAAATTGAGGAAATGCAAAAACATAAATACATATAAAGAACGAGCGAAAAAAATTTAAAGTCGTAAGTCGAAAACATCCTATAAAAGATATATTGTTGACACGCTTATAGCGGAACATGATATTTTGACATTGCGTCACCACCTTACCACCCAGAGCTGAACCCCATTGAAATAATATGGGCACTATTAAAGAATGAACCGGCAGCATGTAATGCGTCATTCAAATAAGTTGATGTACGGCATCCAACAGAAGCAAAATTTCACAATCTCACATCTTATTTCTTAAGAATAAAATAAAAATATATCGATATATCCCAACATTCAATCCGGTAGTGTAAACTTTGACTGTTTATTAATAAAGTAAGTAAAGGCATTGTTTTTTTCCAAAGGTCATAATAGCCATTTCCCTCAATATATGCGAACGAAAGTATTCAACCAGTGCATTTTACCATTTATCACATATGGCTCACAAACATGGACTTTCACAAAGGAGAACATCGACAGGATATCCAAAACACAAAGAGCAATGGAAAGACATATGCTGGATATCGGCCTTAGAGACAGGAAAAGAAACTCATGGACCAGAGAAAAAACAAAGGTGAACGATATATCAAGACAGGTTGCAAAACTTAAATGGAACTTTGCCGGTCACACTCTCCGGCAAAAAGATGAAAGATGGAATAAGCAAATTCTACACTGTAGACCATGAGAAAAGAAAAGAAAAACAGGAAGACCACAGATGAGATGGACTGACGATGTTAAGAGAACGGCAAGAAAGGACTGGATGCAGATCGCCCAAAATAGAGACCAATGGAGATTAACAGGGGAGGCCTATGCCCAAGAGTGGGCGTTTAAGGCTGATTAGATAGATAGATAGAATAGCCATTTAGAAAATCCAAAAGCTCTGGTATGAAAATTAGGAAATTCTATCTCGATGCTCAAGATATAAACACTATTACAAATATAGCACATAATGATAGTCATTAAATAAAAATAGACATAAGATATAATACTTACTATGTGGTAAAGGTTTGCCGTTGAGGAACCATTCAACTTTCATGTTCGGATCACCAACAGGAGCTAACTGACATTCAAATTTAGTAGTTTGCATCTCAACCAACTCAGTTTGATCTTTAATTTGGGTTACAAACCGTGGAGGTTGTCTCTTTTCCACATCATACAAGTCGTCTTCTGTAAGATGAATTTCTGAAGTATACTTCTTAATAGCTGCTTCCATTTGCATGAGAGTTTCAGACTTTTTCATTCCTTTTGGCACTTGGTTTTGTAGAATAATGTTAGGAAGTTTTTTACAAGAGACACTGGCTTTGGTAAAGTCTTCTCCGTAATCATTGACTGCCCTACATACATATTCTCCCGAATCTTCAGCGTAAACATACAAGATATCAAGAGAAACAAATCCAAGATCAAAGACAGTTCTGTAACGGTGCCCTGAGGGCAACAATTTACCATTTCTATACCACTCGATTCTAAGCTTAGGATCATCTTTTGGTTCAACGGTGCATTCGAAATGAACCGACTCAGATTCTTCAACAGTTGAAGATTCAATTTGTGTGACAAATTTGGGAGGAGAGTAGGTCTTTTCTTTTTCGGGTGCTTGAGAAACTGGACCTTTTTCGAGTTCTTTTAGTTTCTCGGCGCTCATACCAGAAGGAAGTTGACTTTCAGTATCGATACTCTTCTTGGTCTTTGAAGTAACAGTAGCTTTTGTAGTAGCTGTTCCCCATTTGTTAGTAGCTCTACATATGTATTCACCAGCATCTCTGGAATAAGAATAGTCAATATCCAAGGAAATAAAACCAAAATCATTAATTTGATGGACTCTGGAACCTGTAGCAAATGGTCTGCCATTGTGGAACCAATCAATTCTCATCGTTGGATCATTTACTGGTTCAACTCTACAATCAAAATGAATTGGTCCACCTTCTGGTACATCAATGTTATCTTTAACTTCCACTGTGAATCTGGGTGGATTAGGTTGTTCTTCTTCAGAAAGTAACTCTTCTTTCTTGTGAAGCATTTCTTCAAGTTTTTGAATGCTTTGGGTACCAGTGCGGAAGTTCGAAGGCAATTGTGGTTCCATTATAATTCCTTGTCTGCCTTTAACCTGTAATTGACAGGATACAGTAGCTTCACCATGTCTGTTTGTTGCTTTGCAAGTGTATAAGCCGGAGTCTCTTTGATAAACTCCCGATACTTCTAAGATAACGAAACCGAAGTCATTGATTGTTTTAATTCTTGAACCAGCCCATAATGGTTTGCCATTGTGGAACCATTCAACCCTCATACTTTGGTCATTAACAGGTATTAATCTGCACTCGAAGTGAGCAAGTCCATTTTCATTTAGTACTAAATCAGAAGGAGATGTGATGAATTCTGGAGGTCTGCCTGTATCGTCGTCTGGAGTAAGTTGAGATGGAGCAACACCAAGTCCTTCAAGTTCAGCAATTTTATCAATAGTTCCCTCCATACCTTTAGGTAATTGGGATTCAAGAATAATACTTCTTTTACCCGATACCTTCATTGATGCTGTTGTAACAGCCTCACCATATTCATTAATGGCCCTGCAAGAGTATTCTCCCGAGTCTTCTGGATAAACTGGCGATATTTCAAGAATAACAAAACCAAAGTCGCAGAAGGTACGGAATCTTGATCCAGTTCTGAGAGGTTTGCCATTCCAGAACCATTCAACTTTGAGTTTCGGATCATCAGTTGGTATAAGTCTGGCTTCAAAGTGGGAATTTTCACCTTCTCTAAGACTATCGATGTTTGATAGTGGAACTGTGAATACGGGAGCTTTTCCAACCCTTGTATCTTCCTTTTCATCTCGTGTTCGTATCATAGCGTCTTCTAGAGTTTGTATTTTCTCTAGACCACCTTCCATGCCCTAAAATCAAAGATGTGTTTTAATTAAAAAAATTTATAACTTATTCTTTTTCAATAACTTAAATAATGAGAAAAGTAAAAGAAACTTACCCGCGGGAGTTGCGAGTCCAGGATTAAGTTCGTCTTTGATACGCATTTCAAATTGGCTTTGGTAGAATCCTGGCCATATTTATTGTAAGCTCTGCATTCATATTCTCCTGAGTTTTCTTCATAACAGTAAAGAATATCAAGAATAACAATACCGAAATCATGGAAGGTGCGGTATCTATGGCCGTGAGGTAGCTTTTTACCATTATAATACCATTCGACTACCAAGTCTGGATCAGTAACTGGTGTAAGTCGGGCTTCAAAGTGAGCGCTCTGGCCTTCAACAAGTTTTGTGACATCTTGAATATGTGTGATGAATTTAGGAGGTTCAGTAACAGGAGTTGATGGTGCTTGAGCATGTTGACCTTGCATGCTTTCTAATTCTCTAATCTTAGCTAAAGATTCTGGTTGAAGACTGTCTGTAAATACTCCACCTCTTCCGTGGGCAGCAATTGTAGCTTTAGTAAAGTCTTCACCGTATTTGTTATAAGCTCTGCAGACATATTCTCCTGAATCGTGATTTTGAATATAGGAGATATCCATAACAACAAAACCGAAATCGGACACAGATTTTATTCTGTTCTTATCTAAAATTGGTTGTCCGTTGTGATACCATTCAACTTTAAGATCTGGGTCGTTTACTGGTATTAAAGTACATTCGAAATGAGCAGATTGTCCATCTTTAAGACCAACAATATCTTTAATGTGAGTAGTAAATTTAGGTGGTTGACCACCAGTTTTTTCAGTGCAATTTAAAGTAACGCTTTGTTCAGCTCTTCCCCACTTGTTGGTTGCAACACAGGTGTAAGTTCCAGAATCTTCAATCTTAGTACCTAAAATTTCTAATACTACCATTCCAAAAGCATGTACTGTTCTGAATCTATGAGAAGCTTCTATGGTCTTTCCATTATAGAACCATTCTACAGTCATAGTCTGGTCACCTACTGGAGTCAAACCAGCTTCAAAGTGAGCAATTTCTCCCTCTTTGATATTATTAAGAGGAGTAAATTCGGAAGTAAACACAGGTGCGTGTCCTTCATCAGATTCTGCTTGTGGTAGATCGGGTCTGTGCAAAGAATCTTCCAAATCTTGGATCTTTTCAAGACCTTCTTGTCCTTTAGGATGTTGCGTTCTTTCTATGAGATTTGATTTACTAGTGCAGTAAATTGTTGTAGACGTAAAAGCTTCTCCAGATTTGTTGGAAGCTTTACAAGTATAAATACCTTGATCTCTTTCATATACGTCAGTGACATCTAATGTTACGAAACCAAAATCTTGGGTAAATTTGAATCTGCTACCATGATCAATAGATTTTCCGTTGAAGAACCATTCGATCTTCATGTTAGGATCTTCTTTTGGTTCTACGGTGCCTTCCAAATGCAATGGTTGTCCTTCTGCTAAATGGAATTCGGGATTGAGTGGTATTATCCAAACAGGTTTACCGTAATCTTTTTCAGGTGCAGAAGTTTGTCTCCTGTATTTACCAGCAATTGCGTCTTCTACATCTTCGATGGCCTCTAAGCCAGCTTTACCTTGAGGATGTTGTGTATCTAGATATATGTTTTGTTTAGCAATGCATCGTAATGATCCAGAAGTTGTTGCAGATCCCTTGCTGTTGGTTGCCTTGCAAGTGTATATTCCAGAATCTGACTCATAAGCATATGTGATATCTAAAGCAACATATCCAAAGTCATAGGTTGACTTATATTTGGAACCAGTAGGCAAAGGTTTGCCATTAACGAACCATTCTATTTTAAGAGTGGGATCTTTAGATGGTTCTACATTACATTCGAAGTGAACATTATCTCCTTCCATGCATTCTACATTATTAAGATGAGTAATAAATATGGGTAGTTCATACACTGGTTCGGGAGTATCTTTTTTGACATCGGATGGTCTTTCAAGAGCTTCAAGTTTAGGTATAGCATCTGGGTGAAGAGTTTGTCCCAACAACCAATGCCTGTCTTCAATCTTTAGGGAACATGTGGATATTGCTTCTCCAAGTTTGTTAGTTGCTTTGCAAGTATAAATTGCAGAGTCATCTTCCCTCAAACCGTTGATAGATAAAGTTACCAATCCAAAGTCAAAAGTACTACGTAGTCTGGTACCAGTAGCAAGAGAAATACCATTTTTGAACCATTCAATGCGAAGATTAGGATCTGCTCTGGGTTCTACTTGAGCTTCAAGGTAAACATGTTGCCCTTCGACCAATTTATCGTAGCTCTTTAAGTGTGTAGTAAAAACTGGTGGTTGTTGTGGTGTAGTGTCAACAAACATTTGAGGAACTTTGTTCATTTCAGCTTCTTTGAGTTGAATCTTTTGCCAAGCATCAGGTTGTAATGGCTCACCAACAATACTGGATTTGGGCTTAACTTTCATAGATATAGAAGAAACAGCTTCTCCTGATTTGTTAATAGCTTTACACATATATACTCCTGAATCCTCCTTTACGGTAGACATAATGTCTAATGTGACAAATCCGAAGTCGTGGGTCACTTTAAATCTTGAACCAAGTTTGAGTTCTACTCCATTAACGTACCACTCGAATTTTAAATCAGGATCACCAACTGGTACAACTCTAGCTTCAAAGTGTGCATGCTGGCCTTCCCAAAGTTCGGTTGGTCCAGTAAGGAGTTGTGTAAAGATTGGTTTTTCAAATTGACGATCAGGCTCATCTGGTCTGGAAGCCAATGGTTGTTCAAGCTGAGCAATTCTTCTCTGAGCTTCAGGGTGTTGGGTATCCAATAGGATGCTGGCTTCAGCTGTAAAACAAATATTTGAATATTAGTTTATGGTTTCACAAGCTACATCAGGAAAATAAATATACTTTTTTTCGTTGTTATTAGGTAGATTACAAAAATACTTACTTCTAATTTTCATAGATGCAGTCGTAACAGCTTCTCCAAGTGGATTAGTAGCTCTGCAAATGTAAACGCCTTCATCTTCGGCTCTTACATGGGAAATATCCAAAGACACGAAACCAAAATCGTGTATTTTAGTAATACGAGAGCTATCTTCCAAAGGTTTCTCATTTCTGAACCATTCCACTTTAAGAGTTGGGTCTCCAACAGGAATTAATCTGCACTCAAAGTGGGCTGTTTGACCCTCCTTGATAAAGTCAATGTTTTGAAGAGGTTGGGTAAATACAGGTCTCTGTCTGGTAGCAGGTTCATCTACATCTGGTCGCTTGTAAGGTTGATGTTCTTCAAGCTGTCTTATTTTATCTAATCCTTCAGGTCTTTGTGACTCCAGAATGATATTGCTCTTTGCAATAACTTTCAGATTGATGGATGAAACACATTGCCCTAAGTTATTAATAGCTTTTACGGAGTATTCCCCTGCATCTTCTGGAACTGCGTGTCCAATGTCTAAAGCTATGTAGCCAAAGTCGAATGTTATGTGGAATCTAGAAGCTGATGGTAATGGCTTGCCATTGTGATAGAATTCTATTCTTAAGTTAGGATCGTGGATAGGCTGAACCTGCGCTTCAAAGTGAGCTGTTTGGCCTTCGTAAATTTCGGTGGTTCCTCTTAATTCAGTAACAAACATAGGTGGAGTTGGAGCTGGTTCTTCAATTTCAAGACGTGCATGATGACCTTGTGCTTCCAATTCTCTTATCTTCTCAAGACCTTCTGGATGTTGAGTATCGAAAATAATACTCTTTCTGCTACCGCATTTGACAGTACAGGTGTTAACAGCTTCACCAACTAAGTTAGTAGCTTTGCACATGTATGTTCCACTATCTTCAGCGTAAGTATATAAGACGTCAAGAGCTACATATCCGAAGTCATGAGTTGTTCTGAACCTATGACCAGCACGTAATTTAACACCATTGACGTACCATTCAATTTTCAAGTTCGGATCATTAACAGGTTCTACTCTGCATTCTAAATGAGCGTGTTCTCCTTCTTTAAGATTTTCTAAATTAACTAATGGAGTAAGGAAAACTGGTTTTTGTGGAACAGCTTCAATTTCCTCCTTTTTAGGTCTTTCATAACTTTCAAGTTGTCTGATCTTGGAAAGACGTTGTTCATCAAGAGTATCTAAGTATAATCCAGATTTAGCTACCACCGAAATACCAGCTGTGGTAACAGCTTCACCAACAGCATTTCTTGCTCTACACATGTATGTACCAGTATCTTCGGCATAAGCGTAGAGAATGTCTAGAGCTACATAACCGAAGTCATAAGTTGTTTTGAATCTGTGACCGGTTTGAATGGGCCGTCCGTTACAGAACCATTCTACTCTCATTGTTGGATCATTAACTGGTGTAAGCGTGGCTTCCAAATGAGCTGTGGCTCCTTCGGGAAGATTTTCAATGGTCTTGAGTCCTCTTCCAAATTGTGGTTTTTCTAAAACGATAGCATCTTCATGTGATACACGTTTGTATCTTGAATCGTCTTCCAAATGTTGGATCTTCTGAAGAGCTCCTTGATGTTGAGTGTCTCTTATGATGGACGATTTTGCTAAAAAAGTAATATAATAGTATTAGTTATAATTTTTAAATTATTCGAAAGTACATTTTTTAAGTAATAATTATTAAAATCTCAGTTCCCTATTTAAGTTTCTCTGTATTTTAAAATATTAAACACTTACATTTTACGGTAGTTACAACGGACGATGTAGCTTGTCCAAGTCGGTTTGTAGCTCTGCAGGTATATTCACCAGAATCTTCAGCATAGGCAGTAAGAATGTCAAGACTGGCGAAACCAAAGTCGTAAGCAGTTCTAAATCTGTGACCAGTTGTTAGTGGTTTACCGTTGTGGAACCATTCAACTTTAAGGTTGGAATCCATGTATGGTTCAATACGACATTCGTAATGGGCGCTCTGGCCTTCAAATAGTTCAGCAGGTCCATTGAGTTTAGTAGTGAATACAGGTGCTGAAGTGATAGTTATTTCTTCTTCTTCACGACGTTGGTATCTGCTGGAGTCTTCTAGTTGTCTAAGTTTATTAAGTGCCCCTTCGTGTTGGGATTCAAGCTGAAGGGATGCTTTAGCTAAAAGAAAAACATTTATTTTCGATATATCGTTTTGGTGCTTTTACTTTCAAATACTTACATTGAACAAACAATGTAGCTGATGTTACTGCTTCACCTAAGTCATTGACTGCTCTGCAGGTATATGTACTAGAATCTTCTGGATTGACATACTTCATATTTAATGCTACATATCCAAAGTCGTGCATGGTTGTCAAGCGATTAGCTGAAAAATGTAAAAAACATTATGAGTCAACTCTACGAGTTAAATTGTTTAATCAATTATTTAAACTATTTCTAAAATCATACACTAGAGAATGAAAAAGTTAAAAGTAAAAGGGAAAAACACAGTTTAAGTATGAAACTACATATCAGTGTCTATATGACAATGTAAATAAAGCTTTTGATAATGCAATACGCTGATGATTAACATGAATATTTTTGTAAACAAATACACAATGTCTGCACAACATAAAAGAATTTTTTTAAGTTCACAAATGTCTGAACTAAAATATGTTCCAAATGGAAAATTGATGATTCTAGAGTAGAATCATCTTTATAAGAACACTTTTTAAAATGAATTTGATAAAAATTAACCAAGTTTTATATACTTACAGGCTTGTATTGGCACTCCATTGCGTAGCCATTCAACTTTCAATCGGGGATCTCCAACAGGAATAAGTCTGGCTTCAAAGTGAGCTGCTTGATTTTCTGCTACTCTCAAGTCTTTTATTGGCATTGTAAAGCAAGGAGCTTGGCTAACTGTTTCTTCCTGTACGGTCTTTCGTTGGTACCTGGAAGAATCTTCAAGCTCAGTGATGCGTTCCATGGCTCCTTCATGGACTGATTCTAAATAAATTGATTTTTTGGTCTGTACATTGCAAATGGCTGATGTTACGGCTTCGCCCAAAGCGTTGGTGGCTCTGCATGTATAGGTACCAGAGTCTTCTGGATAAGTGTAGAGGATATCCAGAGCAACAAAACCGAAATTATTAGTTTCGGTAAACCTAGAACCAGATTTTAGAGGTCTGCCGTTATGGAACCATTCTACTCTCATAGTTGGGTCAGATACTGGAATTAATCTGCATTCAAAGTGAGCCCTTTGGCCTTCCTTAATGTCAATGCTTTTAAGAGACGTTGTAAATATTGGAGCTTGAGTAGTAAACTCTTCTACTTGCTCCTTTCTTTGGTATCTAGATCGGTCTTCTAAATGTTGTATTTGTTGTAGACCAGTTTCGTTTTGAGTCGAGGTGATGATTTGGCCGGATGGTCTGCAACGCAAGGCACAGTTAACTTCGTCGGTACCTACCAAATTAGTTGCTCGGCAAGTGTAAGTTCCTGAATCTTCTGAAATTAAATCTACGATATCAAGAGCTACATAACCGAAATCGTGAATTGGTCTAAACCTGTGTCCGACTGTAACTGGACGACCATTCTTATACCATTCTACTTTAAGATTTGGATCGGTTACAGGCTCAATTTTGCATTCAAAATGAGCATGTTTGCCCTCTGTCATACTTTCTAAGTTCTTTGGTTTTGTAATGAACTTTGGTTTAACAGTAACTTGTTCGTCAACAAATTCAGTTCTCTTGTATCTTGAGGAATCTTCCAAGTACTGAATTTTCTCAAGACCAGCGGGGTGCTGGCTTTCGAACAATAAGTCCTTCTTTGCGATTACTTTAACCGAGCACGATGTAACTGCTTCTCCCAATTGGTTCCTTGCTTGGCAAGTATAAACACCAGAGTCCACTGGGTAGACACTAAGTAAATCAAGTGCTACATAATCAAAATCATAAGCAGGTCTGAAACGATGTCCAGTTTTAACTGGTACTCCGTTAACAAACCACTCGACTCTCATAGTCGGGTCTCCAACAGGTTGAAGACGACATTCCATATGTACATTAGTACCTTCTACGGTTTCGATATTGTGAAGAGATCTGGTAAATTGGGGAGCTTGTAATACAGTTACGTCTTCAGCTATGTGTTTACGATAACGTGAAGAGTCTTCCAAGTGTTGAATTTGTTCTAGAGATTGCTCGTGTTGAGTCTCAGTAATAATGTCATTTCTAGAAATTACTCTAACGCACGATGATGTATGTGCAGATCCTAATTGATTAACTGCACGAACAGTATATTCTCCGGAATCCGAAGCATTAGCGTGGATGATATCTAGAGCAACGAATCCAAAATCGTTGTATGTTCTGAAACGAGAACCGACAGTTACTGGTCTTCCGTTACAGTACCATTCGACTCTCATAGTAGGATCACCCATAGGTTCCAAACGGCATTCTAAATGGATATTTTTTCCTTCTGATACTGGTTGTGGATCAGAAAGAGGTACTACGAAGACTGGCTTCGATTTGCAAAGCTCTTCAATGTGATATTGGGGTTCGACAAATTTGGATTCCTCTAAGTGTTTGGTTTTATCGTATGCACCACGGTGCATGCTTCTGGTGTCAATGCTGGAACGTGCTAAAAAGAAAATAATTATTATTAATAAAGAAAATGAAATTTAGTAGTAAAATTGTATCTCAAGAGTGATGATACCGTTTTAGGTCATTTGCAATAAACCACTTTCCAGGCTATTTCTGAGTTATCTATTGAAGATTATGGCATATTCAAAAAACGATTTTAACGCATAGAAAAACACTAATAAAACAAAGATAAAACGGAAAATCGGAATTTAATGATTTTTAAAAATCTATCGAATGATACCAAACACCACCTATAACCTCCGCCATGTGCAGATTTGAATCCACTTAATTGCAGATGTGATTTTCTCATAAAAAATAATTAAGTATTATTTGAATTTTTCTTTCGATTCGCGATAGATGGCGTTGTAATAGTAGAAAAACAATACTGATTACAGTTTTTTACGAATTTTTTTTGAGTCCAAATCTGCAGTAAAAAAATTGGGATGTCAAAGTTGGTCCTCTCTCTGCCCTAGGAGGTGGAGCAGGAGGGTAGTGTTTGGTGTGATTCGGTAGATTTTTAAAAAATATTGAACAACGGTTTTTTAGTTTGTGATACGATGTATATTTTTTGCGAAATATTCGACCGTTCCATTTTTTTTTCACACCTGGTGGTTAAAGAACTACTGACAACACTATTAATTAAATTAATGAAATCCCAAAATAGTCAGTGAGATGAAATGAGAAAATTATTTAGGAACAACAATTACTAAGTTATTTAGGAACAAGTTTAAGTGACTAATATTTGACAAGAGTGTTACTAGTTGTGGCATATACCAGTTTATGCCCGTTTGCATCTCTCACATCAATTGCAATCATAACCAACCGCCTAACACCTAAGCTCGATTCTATCAACCTATCGAACAGGCTGGATTCAGAGAACATTTTAGTACCATAGACCAATTGCACACCATTGTGCACAACACTGATAGAAAAATGCAGCCAGTATAATATTCCAATTCATATGGCGTTCGTCGATTTTCATAAAGCATTCAATTCCATCGAATTACGGGCAGTGCTTGAATCTCTAGAAAATGCACGCATAGATTCAAGATACACTAACATAATTAAAAACATATGACCTAGATATACCTATTATCAAATATCTAGATACCTAGATATTTGATAACATGACCTAGATATACATAATGTTGAACATTATGTATATCTAGGTCATGTTATCAAACTACGAAAACCAAACCAAGATGCTGAAATTAAAAGAAAAACACAACTTGCATGGGGCGCTTTCGGCAAACTAGCATGTATCTTGAAAAAACACCTCCATTCCTATAAACTTAAAGAAAAAGGTGGATAACACATGCATCCTACCAGTTTGTACCTACGGCTTGGAGACACTAGCCCTTACTAAAAAATCTGCTAAAAAATTAGAAACAACGCAAAGAGCAATGTAACAAATCATGCTTGGAATATCACTAAGAGACAAGATTAGAAACACCGAGATAAGACGTAGAAAGTATATTAGGGATATTGTGGAAGAAATTACAAAAATGAAATCGCGCTGGGCAGGTCACGCGCAGGACATGGAGAATTCTAGAATGGAGACCAAGGACGACAACAAAAAGCATGGGAAGACCTTAAAAAGATGGATAGATGACATAAGAGCAGTGGCAGGAAACAGTGGATTTGATTGGCATAAGATAGAGAAAGATGGAAGCAATTGGGAAAGACCTACATTCAAGAGTGGAAACAGAAACGAAAGTGGACGAAAAATGGTTGACAAAGAAGAGCATCTCTACACCATGCTCAATCAGCAAATCACTAGACAATCGCAGCTCAATTGACTCGTCACAGAGTTGGATTGAAGCTGCGGCTACTGCGCTTCCCGAAGAATCACACCATGAGCCCTTTACTGCCGTTTCTGTCAGCATGTCGTTTCGAATACTTCCAATCAGGTTCATTAGGTAAACCGCTATGGAAGGATTTTAATGTACCTTGATATAAGTGCCCTACATATACCAGGCCTTATCGCTTAAATTGTTTACCGCAGTACTAGAATATGCTTGTAACTGGAAAGAGAAAGGCCTAAACATTGACGGTAGAAGATTAACAAATTTGAGCTTCGCAGACAACATAGTTTTTGTTCTCGGATAACCAGTGTGCCAGTGTGGGTCTTAAAATAAACATCTCCAAAAACAAAATTCATGACAAACCTAGTGTCTAGCGGAAAAATCAATATTGGAGACAACGAAGTATAGCTGGTGGAAATATATATATATATATTATATATATATATATATATATATATATATATCTTGGACACAAAATAGAGATCACAAGTGACAATCAAACATATGAACTACGAAGAAGAATAAACCTAACATGAGCAGCCTATGGAAAATTCAAAGACATCTTTAAAAGCGATATACCAATTTCTTTAAAACGTAAAACATTTAACCAATGTGTATTGTCTGTGATGAGGAAAATGGAAAGGTCAATGCTGAGTATATAACTTCTTGGCCGAGTTAGAAATGAAGACTTAAGACGAAGAACAGGAGTTACCGATGTCATTTCCCGAATTGCCTCACTCAAATGGAACTGTGCCGGATACGTCGCCTGAATCAGTGATGAAAGGTGGACGAAGAGATTGATTGAGTGGAGACCGAGGTTAGAGAAAAGAAGTAGAGGAAGACCCCCTACTCGTTGAAAGAAAATATCAAGAAATTGGATGAAAAGTGCTCAAGAGAGAGCATAATGGACAAAAATTAGGAGGCCTATGTCCAGCAGTGGACGCAAAGATGGGTAATGATGATAGCAGGGTAACATAAAAGATTAATTGAGTGTTAAAAGAGAGCGTATGTATACCCAGGAATAGCTAAAGAAAGATGTAAGAGGAAGAAGCTGATGCATTGCGTAATAAAATGTATAGTTACTTCGTAATACTTGTTGTTATAGTTACAAGGAAATTAAGTCCCATCATATAATGTAGTTAAAATTAAAAAATCAAAGTTTTGAATAAATGATACTTACTTTCTACAACCATGCTTGCTGAAAGTTGGGCTTCTCCCAAGGCATTTCTTGCAACAACTGTGTAGGTTCCACCATCTTCCTCTCTTACACTCAAAATATCTAAAGCAACGTATCCAAAATCGTGATATGTTTGTATTCTGTTAGCTGGTTGAATTGGTTTTCCGTTGAAGTACCATTCAATTTTAAGTGTAGTGTCACTTTGGGGTTCCACTCTAGCTTCAAAGTGGCCCCGTTGGCCTTCAACGATTTTATTTGTTCCTTTTAATGGTCCCAAAAACCTTGGTTTTTGTGTAACTTGTACTTCCTCTTTGGAAGTTCGGTTATATCGACTAGAGTCTTCCAGATGTTGGATCTTCTCCAAACCACCTGGGTGTTGTGAATCAAAGCTAATATCTTTTTTACTGACTACACTGAGTTGTGCAGTGGTAGTAGCCTGTCCCATAGCATTAGACGCACGGCAAATGTAGTGGCCGACATCATGAATGGTAACGTCTTTGATTGTTAGTGCTACATAGCCAAAATTGAAGAAGCTAGTAATTCTTGAACTAGCTTCTAAAGGACGGTTGTCTTTGAACCATTCGACTTTTAAGGTAGAGTCTCCAACTGGTTCTAAACGAGCTTCAAAGTGAGCAAAACCCCCTTCGCGTATCTCATTCTGGTCCTTAATAGGTGTCTTAAAAACAGGTGGCTGAGTACTTTCAGGTGATTCCAAAATATACTTTTGGTTTTGCTGTTGTTGATATGCTTCGAGTCTTTCGACTTCTTCAATGTACTTTTGCTGTTCGGGAATACCCAAATCGCCTGTAACTGAAGATCTTGCGTAAACTCTAATATTAGCTGTACTGATAGCTTCGCCTAAATGGTTTACAGCCCGCACAGTATACGATCCTGCATCTTCGGCCCGTAGGTGCATGATGTTGAGAGAAACGTAACCGAAGTTGAAGATGGTGGTGATTCGTGAACTGGCGGTAATAGGTCGGCCATCTTTGTACCACTCCACTTTCATCGTTGGATCACTTACAGGGGTCAATTGAGCCTCGAAATGAGCATTGCGACCTTCTTGCAATTCTCCAAGATCCTGGAGTGGACGGATGAAATGAGGCTTTTGGTTTGTTCGTTCTTCTAAACTGTCAGTTCTTTGGTATTTAGAATAATCCTCTAAGTGCTGAATATATTGTAAGCTATCAGGGTGCTGACTACTTTGTTCAATCGAAGTTCTAGGGTTAATGCTAAGCAAGGCGCGGGATTCTACGCATCCCGTTGCACTGGTTACACGACAAACATATTCGCCGCTGTCGTTCATTATTAAGCTAAGTATATCTAAAGCGATAAATCCAAAGCGGAATATTGATGTAGTTCTAGAACCTGAAAAAAAAAACAAAACATATTAATACGAGTTTATTCGTATTCGATTGCAAAAAGGCGATTGTATTTTGTCCATAAATATACTATCATGTTTTAACGCTTATTATAAAGCATTCCACAAAAAATTGGATTCCTGTGAATCATTTACAATTAGTCAAAAAACTAAAATATTATATTTATCTAATACTCTTATAGTCCAGGCTGTGAGGCCGCTCCCGTTGGGAAAATGTTTCTGATTCGGTTTCTTGGCGGATTCCGGTTCAAAAATGTCTCCTTTAAACAAATCTGAAGGGTGCCGGGCGAAATTTTTGGCAGAAATTGTTTAAACAATTTTTTTTTAAACAAATTCCAAAAATATTTTATTTTAATCTGGAAAACGTTTTTTAGGTTTTTTGGGTCATTTTAAATAAAAAAGGTCTCTTGTCATTTTTCTCTAAAGTTGATAGTTTTCGAGTTATAAGCGATTTAAAGTCTGAAAAACGCGAAAATACGCATTTTTGAGGTTTGAAAACACATATGTAAATTATTATTTTTGAGGTTACCAAGTGTCTAAATTGAAGATTAAACATTCAACTTCAAGATTGTGAAGAGTAATCGGGCTTATTTTAATTTAGTTCGTTGTTTTTTAATTGTTAAATATGCGCGTGCACTCGATTTTTCAGCCGCCGCGGCGCGGCGTGCTTGAGTGCGCTTCTATCGTACTTATGCATAGTTTACATATACACTTACGCAAAAAACCCCAACAAATCCTTGAAGTTTATTAACATAGTTTTTTCCATAATTTATTTATGTAGGTATTAATTATTGTCATTGGGCTAATTAAATAAATCAATCATCGCAATGTAATAACCGTATATAGTTTTTTTTCTTCCAAATTTGAACAATATAATTATTATTTATTGAGTATATATTTATTTATATCAATTGTAAATATTATTTTTAAATTATTATTTAAATAATACAATGCAGTAAATATTAATATTAGTAAACTTAATTTTAAATTGCGCGGTGTTTACAAACAATATACTATCGCAAAAATGCAAGTTTTTACCTGTTTAACAATCGCGCGCTCATACTTGATTTGTTATTACTTAAACGATCATTAGGAAGACTATTGTTTAATGCCCATTAAAAGGGTATTATATTATTAATGTGTTATTAAAAAAATTGTGCATGGATTTAAAATGTCTTTTTCCGTACCTCTTCTTAAATGAAAACTTACCGAAGAAAATTTAGTTTGTATTTTTTGTAATAACATCAACAATATTAAGTTAGTGCAAAAACCTAAAGTAGATTTTTACATAACAATACAAAATGCTGCTCTTCGACGAAAAGACAGTGTGACTGAAAAATTTAATTTAATCTAGCCAATATACCTTGTACCTCTGATGCACTTTACCAACACTTGTTAAGAGCTTTCGCTAAAACATATATTTGGCGAAATGCCATATATTCCCGCTATCAAACTCTCGATTTTACACAATATGGATATTATATGTCTGATAGTGGTGGGTTGGGAAACCGTGCAAATGCAAAAAGACTTGCAAAACTAATGCTTGCAACTGCAAGAAAAATCATGTCAACTGTGTACCATTATGTGGATGTGATTTACATTTTTGTGAAAACAAAGATACTTTTACTGAGTGATATTAGTGTGTTATTTAACAATCTTTTGTACAATTATTTTATGTAACTATTATTAGACTTTAGACTAAATTTATATTATAACTCAATTGATATAAATAAATATATACTCAATAAATAATAATTATTTGTAAGTATATGTAAACTATGCATAAGTACGATAGAGGCGCACGGTAGCGCTGAAAAATCGAGTGTACGCGCATACTTAACAATTAAAAAACAACGATCTAAATTAAAATAAGCCCCGATTACTCTTCACAATCTTGAAGTTGAATGTTTAAACTTCAATTTAGACATTTGGTAACCTCAAAAATAATAATTTACATATGTGTTTTCAAGCCTGAAAAATGCGTATTTTCGCGTTTTTCAGACTTTAAATCGCTTATAACTAGAAAACTATCAACTTTAGAGAAAAATGACAACAGACTTTTTTTGTTTAAAATGGCCCAAAAACCTAAAAAAAACGTTTTCCAGATTAAAAAAAAATTATTTTTGGACTTTGTTTAAAAAAATTGTTTAAACAATTTCTGCCCAAAAATTTCGCCCGGCACCCTTCAGATTTGTTTAAAGGGGACATTTTTGAACCGGAATCCGCGAAGAAACCGAATCAGAAACATTTTCTCAACGGGAGCGGCCTCACAGCCTAGACTATTACTATCTCCCCATTTTTGTCTTCTGCTTCCTTTACCCTGCTTAATGATTGACCCTCGATGAATTCTTGTTGTTCGTTATTCTAAAAATTTCTCTCTACATTGTTTGCAATCACCGGACTGTTGTTTCTAATAAAATCCATGTCCAGTTTGTTAGAAGATCGCTGTTGTTTTTTCCGTTATAGCTCATTGTTAAATGAGCCTTTCTAGCTCCTGTAGCTGGTTTTATAAAAGTCGTTTTTTTTTCTTTTGTTTTAGTATCTTTTTCTCTGATTGTCTCATCTGTTTGTATTCCCCTTGATTTTGTCTTGTCGTTCTGTTTTAACGCCTAATTCTGTTTTTGAGTTGCCTGTGCGCATTCCGCATCATACCATTCTGTCCCCTTTCTTTCTTTTTTCTTCTTTCCTACAGCTGTTGTTGTTACTTGTTTCAGGATATTTTTGTACTCATTCCAGTAATTATCTATGTTTTCAACAGTACTACTCATTGGTCTTCTAGTTTTTCTTTAAGTTTGTGTTCAAATTTTCTAACTATCTCAGGGTTTCGTAGTCTGTCCACCTCAAATTTATCTTTTTTGCTTCCTTTACCTTTTTTTGCGTTAGAGATTCGTGCCCTTAGTCTAGCCTGAACCGGGTAGTGATCGGAGTCAATGTTTGCTCCACGTCTGGTACGTACATTCATAACATCGCTGTAATGTCTTGCGTCCACAACTACATGGTCAATTTGATTGATTGTGTTACCGTCTGGCTAACCCAAGTGCCTTTGTGTATAATTTAACGCTCAAAGCATGTGCCGCTATCACGATATTCGTTGAGGCTGCAAGGTGTATTATTAGGCGCGTTTCATTGTTGTTCGACTCGTTATGGAGGTTATATTTTCCAATCATCATCATCATCAACTAGCCTCTAACGTCCACTGCTGAACATAGGCCTCTCGCATGCTTTTCCATTTAGTCCGATTTTGCGCCATCTGAATCCAATCCAATATTTTCCAATAGTGGTAGGTAATCATTTTCTTTTCCTATTTTGGCGTCGAAATCTCCAAGTACCATTTCCATCTAGTACTATTATATCAGGTATTAGTACATCATCTATTAGTACATTTAGTACTAATCCATATCCAGTTTGTTAGAAGATCGCTGATGTTTTATCCGTTATAGCTTAAATTTTAATTCGGCCAACAGACTGTGGCCAGATGGACTATCGGCACCAGGAAAAGTTTGTACAGATTTTACTGCATCTTTGTAACGCTCACTGATGGTTATGTAGTCAATTTGATTTCTTACAATACAAGGAGAGATTTCCAAGTATATAATCTCCGTTTAGGTAGTTTGAAAAATATATTCATTATACATTGATTATATTCTTTGCAAAAATCTGCAAAATAATCTCCCTTTTCATTTCTATCGCCAATTACAAAATCTCCAATAATGTTACTTTGTCTGCCTTTTTATATCTTAGTATTAAGGACAGAATGGTGAGATCTCTAGTTTTGAGTTGGCCAGTAACAGTTTTTACATCTGCGTAAAACTATTCAAGCTCTAGTTCACTTTCCGCTTTCGGTGCGTACACTTGTATTTTTATCGCGGACATTTTTGTCCGATTAAAAAATATCAGTACAATTAGCAGTAATTGAAGTTGTTCAGCAGAGCTTTCTGTAATCACGGTATCATCTGCATATCTTATGTTGATAATAGATCTTCCGTTAATTATTATTCCTTCACTTTGAGATAGTAATATTTCTTCAAAAATGGCTTCAGTATATACAGTAAATAGTAATGGGGACATAATACATCCCTGTCTAACTCCTCTCCTGATTTCAATTTCTGGCAATTTCTATACAGCCCAATTTTGCCCTTTTTTGAAGATTAAAAAATGATCTCATCCGTAAATATTACCCTGTCCCAAAAATCTTGAGTTTGTAGCTGATCGTTTACAGCGAATATAAGTCTTAATTGCTTCTGTTGTGATGTAAGAACTTATTTTTTTGCTGCAGTTCGATACCTAAGAGGCGATGCTTTAATTCTGCGCCAAGTTGTTGCCTTTCTTCCCGGAAACTGTGTCATAATTCTTGCAGTTTTTGCATCTTCAAAATGATTCTCTTCTAATCTGTCCAAAAGCATACAATCTTCACGAGCGGTAGATATTTTTGGTCTTCCAAAACCTTACTTTCTTTCGAGAGTTTCTTTTTTTCTCCATATTTTATTAGAATTTAAAACTGTTGTTCTGCTTACGTTAAAATGGTTCGCTACGTCAGATAGTGACCAACCATCTTCTAATTTCGTTACCAGTTTTTTAGGAACCAGGCATAATATGTCTTCATATAAAATATCAAATATATCCATGTTAGTTTCAGGTAGGTAAGACGTGATTGTATCTGTCTGTAGGGCCAAATGGTGAGTTCAATTCGTACTACTGGGAAACTGGAAACTGTTGAATTCCTGCTTATCTAATTATTTTACATCAAAAGTTACAAGAAAGTAATTGTAGATAATTGAAATCTATAAATTGTTCTGAAGCTATTTTCTTGTGGTATCTTACTGCAATTTACTCTTTTTGTTGCGAATAAGCAACAATTTAAATTTAAAATAAGTTTATTTTTGACGTTTTGATTTCCACTTCCATTCCAACATTAATTAATTAATGTTTATTTTAAAATTAAATTATGATAATTTCAAAATTGTTTAGGACATATTAAGGACAAAATCTAGGCCTTTTCGACTAGATACTCAGAAAAGTTACTGATTTTCTTCAAATTAATTTAAAAAACGAATACTTACTAGCTGCTAAAGGTTTTCCATTCAAAAACCATTCTACACGCATGGTTGGATCTCCAACAGGTTCTATTCTAGCTTCGAAGTGTACTCTACCTCCCTCAAATTGAACGGCGTCCCTCAAGGGAATGATAAATTGCGGTGGAGGATACACACGATCCTCTTCACCTGGTGGTGCATGAGGACGAGCTCGTTCAACGTGACGAAGATAAATTACTTCTGGGCCAGGTTCGGGTCTGAAAAAATTAAATATAACAAGGTCAGACGTTTACGTTTTATTATAATGAACTTTTTAAACTTTAAAATCAAATAACACGAGGAAAACAAAAACGAAGAAAAAACTCGACGAGAAGTAGAGAAACGACACAAAGACACAAAAAAGTGTCCCAAAAATTTAATCAAACTAAACTACTTCTCCGTGGTTTAGTTACTTATAAAATGTAATACATTAGAAATAATAGATATAATGAATATTAACGCAGGTCCCAAACTAGGTCGGGGTAGGGTGGATCAAACTTGCTGTTGTTCGTAAAAAATCTTTAAAATCCTGTTAGAAAAGGGAGGTATTGATGAAGAACTCTAAAGCCAGATTAATCGTAAAGAGTATCCTATAATAATGCGGTAGTGCGCTGAAGTATTGATGCTATTTTGAAGTCCATTTCGAAGAACTTTCTGCGAACTATCCAGTGGAAAGTTCTTGAACATATTAGAACTTATAATGCATTACAATATCCCTTTTCAACAACGTAAGGAAGCAAACTTATGGAGCAGAGACTTTAACAGTCACGCAAAAATCTGCGAATAAACTCAGAGTTACACAACGAGCCATGGAACGTGCAATGCTGAACGTGAGCCTTCGAGACCACATAACAAACCAACAAATTAGACAAAGATCAGGAGTTCAAGACGTCATCGAAAGAACCACGTCGCTTAAGTGGAACTGGGCAGGGCACTTAGCCAGAGCACAAGATGGACGGTGGACAAGACGTATTATGGAATGGAGGCCCAGAAACTATAAAAGAAGCCGAGAACGACCACCGACTAGATGGACCGATGATATAAAACGTGTAGCGGGAAACTGGCTACAAGCGGCCCAGTGTAGAGAACACTGGAAAGAACTGAGGGAGGCCTATGACCAGCAGTGGACGCGATTGACTGATTGATGATGAAGAAAAGGCATAAAAAAGTACAATCTCCTAACTTTCTCAAAAATACAAGATGAGTTCCTTAACGTTATTGCCAATAACATAAGACAGAAGCATAAGGCATTCGTTACGTTAAAGCGAATACATCGAAGCTAGAGGAAAGTTTTATTGTATTTTTCCCAGTTAACAACAAAACAGATGATTGTCTGAGCCAAGAAATCCTAAAAAATTAGACAAAGATAACCTTAAATAGGACAACTATTAATAGAGGTCAATGCCAAGGTAGTGGGGCAAATATGGTGAGGAAGTATTCAGTCCAGATTACTCCACGAGAACGAACTAGCATATTTTGTCCCATGTGCTATTCACTTTTTTAATTTAGTTAGTGCTAATGTGGCTAGCACTACTATTAAGTCTCGGAATTTTTTTGGAACTTTAAGGAGTATGTATTCTTTCTTTACGGCTTTAACATCACACTGACAATTTCTCCGAAACTATATGCCACGGACATTGAAACCTTAAAGCAAGAAAAATTGTCTTCAAGATCAGATGTGGTCGAAGCTGTGTATAAACATTGTGGTAGCGTTGTGCAGGTTATAGAGAATCTTAAAAATCATATTCTCTCAACACCTCAAACTATTAGTGAGGCCAGCTCCTTTTTGAGAAATTTGGGCATGCTTTGTTCATCTGGGCAAATCATGTCAATGAGTTTAAAAAGAAGATGTGCTAGTAGATTTGGCTGCCTAGAACTTTCAAGATCTTTTACCATTATTCAAATTCTGCAGACAGTTTTACTCCATCTGAGACAATTAGTGATGGAAAATTCCTAGCAAGCATGAAAGATATAGCATCTCAATTATTAGAAAAAAAGACAAAGAACAAATTAATAAAGCCCGATGGGCTGTGTGGTGGGAAACTCTAACAAGTGCTGAGAATTTGTACCAAGTAGCTATGTTAGTAGAAAGTAAGCCACTTTGGCACACTTTGACCTTTGACGTCTGACGTCACAACAGGTCTGGAACAGGTCTACAACAGGTCTTGATCAGGTTTCGAACAGGTATGTCAAAGTCTTTCTTAAAAGTCATGTTTGAGACCTGATCAAGACATGTTAGAGAACTGATTAAGACTTGTTCGAGACCTGTACGACACCTGATGTGACGTCAGAGGTCAAAGGTCAAAGTGTGCAAAGTGGCTTACTTTATACTGATGTTAGAGGTTATTGACCGGTTGATTACGGAACTCAGTAAAAGGTTTTAAGCTTTAGACAATCTAAACCGCAAGTAGATTTTTGAATGAAGTTCGAATTAAAGAAATACAAATAAAAAAGCTAAAAATGAAAGCAGTTCTTCTATTTCCGGCCCTGTGTTAAACTTAAAGCAAAAAATATAGAACCCAAAAGAGACTTGACTGAAATAATTCTTTTTTATTTATCTATTATTTGGGAAATGTATTATTGTTCAAATATTAATGTACAACTAACTCAAAGAAGTTTTTTTTTTTTTTAATTTTATATTCGAAAAAAAAATTAATCCGCTATCAAGTGAATATGAAAACAGCAATGGTCTATACTTTTATATTAAATATTTTTAAATATTTGTTAAATATGTTTTCATAGAATTGTAATTTTAGATATTTTCCTATTCACACGTTTTTGTTTTATTCTTCTAAACGTAAAATTATAAAATAAATTTATTATTCATTTTGAAACTAGTTGCAACTTAATATCTGAAGAAGCTACAGTATGGTGAATTAAAACTAAATGACAAATAAGAGTATGATATTGTCACTCTAAGCCCTTGATCGAACATACTACTGCAGTTGTTCTAATTTCCAACCTAGGAGCAATTTATATTTTAGAGTCAGTCAAAGATATAAATTTGTGCGGTTAAACAAATAAATGTTATAAAGTAATCGTGTTTTAGTGTTAGATGATTTTAAATAAATTAAAATAATTTTATGTTGGTGTCAGAGGTGGGATATTTAAATAAATTATGTGAAAAGTCGATAGAATGAAGAAACGCTACGATACCTAAGCCTAATGGAATTTTTTAGAAGAAGAAGCGCAAAGTCTGGCTCTATATTTCAAAGAAGCAAAGAGGTTGTTCTACTAAGTTGCGGCAATTCTGGGAACGTTTGTAGCTTATAAGAACTCCACGACTTAGATGAAGAAATGGAAGTAAACTAAGTCCAAGAAGTACCTGACCCACGTTTAAGGAATTAATGAGGGCATATGGAGGTACCAGTAAAGTAAGCAGTGGTGTTACCACTAAAGAAAAGCAAGAACTCCTTAAATTTCTAGATGACTTACTGTCCCATACCATTCCGGCTAGTATTAAAGACTCACAAGGATTGGCATACATCTTTCAAAGGAAGTTTGGTCGAGATGCAGAACTTCAATGCCAACTACTAGCTCCCGGAAAAGCGATGAAACTCCAAGATTCATCACGTTACTTTTTATATCTGGTAACAAAAGACTTTGCCCATGACCAACCCACCTACCAATAAGCACGGGAAACATTACGTCGATTAAGAGAGCTCGTACTGGAGTCCAAGATGCAAAAAATGGCCATGTCGAAGCTAAAATGCCGCCAATTAGATTGGAGGGTTATTCGAAATATAGTAGAGGTCCAGTAACCATCTCTTAATGAGAAGAAACTATTATGGCAAGCCCTTGTTACGCCCCTGATATTAAGAATACAATACAATATTTAGAATGCAATCTAAAGCTAATCTAAATAGAATTGTTAACATTAAATTTGCAATAAATCGGTAGGCTTAATGAGTAACAATAATGAATTTAATAAAATCACGAAAATCCCTTAGACAAACGTTATTATTCTATTACAAATATTTTAGAGCAAAATAAAATTTTAGAAATAGACATGGTAAAGTGACACTTTTCTTTAAGTGAATATAGTACGAAACATACTATAAGATTAAAATAAACGTATACAAGAATAAAACTATAAAAATACTGAAATCCGTATACTAATTTTTTGAAACCAAATTTAAGCCATGTTAGAGTTGCTTCCTAAGACACAAGAGCTTTGTTTTGACGTTCAGAACGACCGTGAATAGCTGTTCTGATAAGCCCTATTAAGGCGAAATACGTATAAGCAGATACACGGACGTACTACACGTGAAATCAAATCTTGACTGTCTTTTCTTTTTATAGAAATACTCTTTGAAGTGAAATTCATTGATAAAAAAATGAAATGAACGTATACTCACTCAGGTTCGATGACTTTCGTAGGCCTGGGTAGATGTAGGCGTCTTGGTTCTGGAGTAGTACTTTGAGGTGTTTGGACGAATAGTCGGGCACGAGTAGCGGTGGAGCCAGCTACATTTTGAGCGGTACATTGGTACCAGGCAGCGTCAGATACTTTGGCCCTTGGAATATCCAAAGTCGAGGCTCCACCGTCAATCGCAATCCTAACATCGGGGCTACTCACTAGCGGTACACCGTCCTTCTGCCAAGTGATTCGTGGGATTGGAGTACCCACTGCTCTTGCATGGAGTCTTACTGGTTCTCCCTCGGCGACATTGACGGTTGCGAATCTTTCAACGAATTTAGGAGCTACTACTTGCTCCCGTTCTATGACATTGAGGTTACATTGGAAGGAAGTTTCTCCGGTTTTGTTTCTAGCAACACAAGTTACAACGCCAGAGTCGTTTCTACTAACGGTTGTGATCATAAGGGCATGATTACCAGATTCGTTGACTAATATCTTATGGTTGTGGTCGTCTACTACTTGTCTTCCATTAATATACCATGTCACTTCAGGATATGGCCTGCCAGTGACTCTGCAGTCAAAACGAGTCATTTTACCTTCAGTAACATCTCTATCGTTGCATACTCGTACAAAATTGGGAGCTAAAGTTTTGTTTGAATCCGTTTGTTCGATTTCGGTTTGTTGGTGCTTGAACGTGGATTCGTGAATAAGTCCCTCTTGAGTGGTTACTGGTTCTATAGCTAAATACGCAGATGAGACTACGCAACCTTGAGGATTTTCAGCAAGGAGAGTGTAATGACCAGAATCATCAGAAGTAGTTTGCTTAACTCGTAACGAGGCTTGGTTATTAGAGAAAGTTGTTTCATATTTCTGAGAATCTGTAATCCTTTGGCCATTTTTAAACCATGTAATTCTAGGCCTAGGATTAGCTGATAGTTTAGATGTAAATACAGCATCAGAGCCCTCGAGTAGTTTGGAATTTCGAGGTTTTTGGGCAAATTGAGGTGGAGCTGGAGGTCCCAAAGATCGTTCGACTGTAGTAGAAATTTGGGAGTCTTGTTCGTAATTGGACCGTCTCGTAATAGATTCCCTAAAGGAAACTTCTCTTAAAATTCTATATTCAAAAGTGTCTATTTTAAAGTCTTCGGTAATAGTGGTTGTGGTACCATTAGAATAACTAGTCGTTTGATCAAATTTAGAAAAGGCTTGTCTTTGCGGTATTTGCATGCCCTCAGGTGAAATATATACCGAGCAAATAGCTGCTCCGTATTGGTTCTTTGCATTGCACACGTACTCTCCTTCATCCCCAGGTCCTATTTGGTTGATCTGGAAGACAATGTCACCAGTTTGTTCGTTGTAGCTTAATCGGTGCTTCTGTGAGCTAAGAAGAGGGGCCCCGTTCCTTGTCCATGTCACGGTGGGTTGAGGTTTGCCTGTGACTCGGCCTTCAAACGTCGCTGTTCCTCCCTGCGCGAATCGGGCATTGCTGAATACCTTTTCGAATACGGGTGGTTGGGCGTTAGGGCCAAAGCCTGGTATCTGTTGGATCTGTTGTTGTGTCATTTGACCACCTGAAAGAAAAAATTGTAACTTTAAAAATTTGAAAAGACTAATTATAAAAAAGCAGTTTATTAGCATTAGTGATGATGATGTGGATACGTATGTGTATAAAAGTTAGGAATTATCTTTTATACTACAGGAAATTTTAAGATATATTAAATTTAAAATGTATTTAAAAAGCAAATTTATGTTTAGTGTTAAATAGTGTTAAAAGAATCAAGCTATTGCTGCTTTAATGCCCTTTATTTGCCGCATGGGTTAAGATGTAAAGCTGGAAGTGTGTGAAAGGAAAGTGCTAAGGAAGATAGTTGGATCAATTAACGAGAATCCAAGTACAACCATGAACTCTACTAGCTGTTCAAAGAGTCAACGGTCTTAGAATTCGTTAATGGTCTGGTCATGCAATGAGAATGGAGGTCAAAAGATTGTCCAAAAGAGCCCTAGCTAGTAAAATTCAACAGACGCGCAAATTTGCTAGACCTAAGCACCTGGAGAAGATCGGCTCAAGTACAGCAAGGTTGGAGTCATAGTTTGGAGGAGGCCAAGGCTTGATTTGGCCTGCAGTACAATCGGAAAGAAATATGTTCATATAGTATTAACAACTTTAGTTGATTTTACTATCATATTTATCTTCTTCTTAGAGTGCCGTCTCCCTACGGAGGTTGGCAATCATAATGGCTATTTTTATTTTAGAACTTGCTGCTCTAAACAAATCAATCGATCTGCATTGGTACCAATCACGTAGATTCTTTAACCATGAGTTCTGCCTTGGGCCAACAGATCTTCTTCCTTAAATCTTTCCCTGTATTACCAGTCTCAAAATTTCATATTTTGGTCCCCTCATCACGTGGCCTAGGTATTCCAGTTTTCTGGTTTGTATAGTGGTGATTAGTTCTGTTTCTTTACCAACCCTCTCCAGTACTTCTTTATTTGTAATTCTATCAGTCCATGATATTTTCAATACTCTGCGGTATAACCAGAGTTCGAAGGCCTCGATTCTTTTTAAATTACATTTTTTTAATGTCCAAGTCTCAGCTCCATATAATAATATTGAAAATATATAACAGCGAATGGTACGTAGTCTGATCTCCAAATTTAGATTTTTGCACGTTAGAGTGGCTTCATTCGTATAAAATGCTGATCTGGCAATCTCTATTCATCTGTTTATTTCTACAGTATGATCATTAGTTTCATTGATCAAAGTTCCCAAATACTGATATTTTTCTACTTGTTCTATCACGTTACCATTTATTGTCAATAGGTGATGTATATTTTGTGGCCTTTTTGTAATCGTGCCTATCATATTTATACGGTGCTTTATATTTTCTGTTATTTTTTCTTATATTTAATTAAGAATGTCATTAACTTTATTTTTGGTTCATTTAAAACTTATAATTTAAAGAATGAAGAAGAATAATAGGCACAAACTGATAATATAGTAGTTTCAGATTAATGATTCTTGTTAATTTACATTATATAATGATTCAGCAAAATGGCACAAAAAAATAAAATCAATATTAGCCATGTATCTATTTAGATTGTAGATTTCTAAAAAGTCGTTTGGCGGTAGACCTTTCCACACTGCGGTCTTTGATCTTTTATGGATAATCTACATCTACTTTGCTATACTTCGTCAGTTGCTTAACTGTTTGCAATTTGTATCTTGGTTGGAGAGAGACAATTTTCAGGCACTTTTGGGTACAGAAATGTATTATTTAATTTAGTTTTAATCTTAGCTCTAGAATTAGTACCATCCGTGTGGAATATACGGATCACTAGAGCAAAGTCCGAAGTTCCAGGTAGTGTTTTACCTTACTTTTATATATTTTGCGAAAGTTTTCTATTCTTCTTCTGGAGCAGTGTGTTATATTTTTAAAGATAATTAATATTATGAATGACATGTATTTCGAGTCTTACATCAGTGCAAGCTAGTCAAATGCCATCACCAAGAATGCTGGATTCAGACAAGGCTGCATTATTTCATCCATTTTATTTTTGTTAATGCTGAAGGAAGGTCATAAATACCGGTGAAAGGGAATTCAGTGGGATATAGCTAGTCATCTAAAGGATCTCGATGACTTTCCCGACACGAAACTTAAATGCTTAAAGCGGGAAGGTAAAGCTGCAGGTCTTTGGATTAATACTCCTACGGCAAAGAAGATAGGATTAAACGCAACAAATATAGAGTACCTCTTGGATACTGGAGATGAGACGGTAAAGCAGTCGACTAATTTCTATATCTAAGAAATATTGTAACAGCGGTTGGACGGACCCTGAATGATGTTAAAATAACATTAGAAAGACGAACATTGTATTTGTTAAGTTTTAGCTTATCTGGATGAGTAGATATCTAATCCTAAATATCAAGATTCATATATTTGTCACCAACGTTAAGTCTGTTTCCGTTGCAAGCTTGTGTTATTTAGAAAGTAGATAGGAAAATATCATCACAGCTCTAGGTGCATATAAGAAATCAGAGGTGGAGGAGGCATGGCAACACTCTTAGAAAATCAGATGTTACTATTAAAAAGACAGATTGGAGCTGAAATCATTAAGGAGCGAGAATATGAGGTAGCTTCTTTATGTGCATGGACACACATAATGCCAACTTTTTTAAATCTGCAATATATATCTTCTTCCTCTTTATAAGCAACTCTGCTTAGTCATTGGCGGATCAAAACCTCTATGGAAAGTAGTCACTCCATATTTTGGGCGGTCGTCCGATACTTTCGCTGTCGAGTCGATGTTTAGATAGCTGCACATTACAAAAAGGCTCCATGTTACCAAAAAAATCACCGCTTACTTTGGTCATGTGGTGCGTAGAGATGGTCTTGAGATATAGCATAATTACTTGGACCACATTACAACAGAAGTCGGAGCTTCACTAAACCATTGTTTTCAGAGTTGCAGAAGATGGAGAACGATGAAAATAAGTCGAAATATGATTAAGAATTCAAGGTGGCACGATATCCGAACCGGACAACTGACTAGGAGAAACAATATAATAAGAATAATGTACTTACATTTTGAGACAAAATAAAAGTGACGTCTCAAGAGATCACTACATAAAAGTCCAAGAAGCAAAGCGAATAGACGATCTAGTGAACAAGTGGAGAAACATATTATAAAGATGAAGATTTTTTTCTCAATTGGCAATCGGCTAAGTGCCCATCTAGCAAGCACCAAATGTGTAATAATATTCACTTAAATTAACCCATTCTAACTAAACTAAATACACTACTATTCTGGAAATTAAAAGAAGAACTACGATGGGAGAGGAACTAGAATTACGTTTCGCACCTAGGGGTCATTCAATGTGACTCACAGATAGAAAGTGTAGACCACGAACAGTATAGGTAAAAAGGTAAAATACTTGGCGATTCAACAGAGATAACGATCTTAAACACCTACACTAAAGTTTTAAGTTACACATTTTAACAAACGCAAACCACATTGCAAGTTTCACAAAGTTCAGTGTTGACTACACCGATTTTATATAACTGTTGAGGGAAGCTTGCATGTTCGAATTTCAGCCTACAAATGGTCACAATATCATTTCTTGTAAAATCATATATAGGTGCCATAAAACTGTCGGAATACTTGGATGTAATAGTGTGTATCGTGTGAGGTTATTCGAGCTATAGTTCTTCCAATGCAATTTCCATTTTGCCTTAAAATTACTCTTTAAATGTTATTAAATATTCTTGGACACCTAAATTGTTGTTGATATGCTGTCCAGTTGTAACGCTTTCTTTGGCTAAGGAGTCTGCAACTTCATTGTCACGAAACCCTATATGAGCTTTTACCCAAGTGCATTTTAATTCGTATTGACTTTTTTTTAATTTATGAATTCTTACCTTGAATTCTCTAATAAGAGGATTTATATTAGTAGCCATCACATTAATTGGGTTAGCGATGTATTTAAGAACAGATAAGGAGTCACTCAAAAAGTGTATTTTTTTAACTTGTTTTTTTTTATATAATCGCAATCTTTAATAATACCAATCGCTTCTGCAGAAAAAAATGTAAGTATTATTATTTAATTTGAATTTTTGTTGAACGTTAGTTGATGGTATATAGAATGCGCATCCCGTACATTATCTTGTTTTGGTGCATCGGTATATATTTTCCAGAAAATATGACAGATTTGATGCAGGCGCTGAATATATTTTTATTTATTAACAAGTTTTCATTATATACAGGAATAATAATTTCTAGTGGTTCCAACATGTCAAATAATTTAGATTTTTCGACTGAAATAGTTCTTTTTAATTCACTATTATAAGTAATTGTAACATTATCAAGCTTCCAAAAAAGGCAACCTCACACTGCAAAAATTGGAGAGGAATAACCTTGCTTACTGTCATAAATAAAATTTCCACGACCATATACTGAAAAGATTAACAAACAAGGTTGAGTTTCGAGCTAATCAAGCAGGCTTTAGACCAGAATCCTCCTGCATAGACCACATTAATACTGTGAGGGTAATAATAGAACAATCAGTTAAATGGAACACACCCCTATACATGGTTTTTGTTGATTTTGAACGTGCCTTTGATAGCATGTCTCACGCTGCTGTATGGAAAATTTTAGAACTAAGAAAAATCCGCAAAAAATAATTTCTATTATAAAGTCACTATATAAAGTGACGAATTCGACGTACTTACTGGAGTTAGACAGGATGCGTGCTTTCTCCGTTTCTTTTTAACATAGCTATAGACTATGTTCTCTCCAAACTAGACTCCGACACAAGAGAGATACAATGGACGTTAACCACACGCCTAAGCGATCTAGAATACGCGGACGATATCTGCCTATTAGGTCGAAGGTTCCAAGATCTGGCTTACCAATTGGAAACACTTTCCAGTGAAGCCAATAAAATAGGTTTGAAAATCAATATTAGTAAAACCAAGTCCATGAGAATAAATGCAAGGAACAACACGCTATTTACTATCGACAATATGCAGATTGAAAATGTGGAAAACTTTACGTATCTTGGAAGTGTCATAAC